CTCTCCCCCCCCCCCCCCCGGGCACTGGCGGCGAGGCCTGAGTGGCTCCCAGCTGCCAGGCATGCCACAGAGTTCCCAGAGCATTCTCTGCGCATGCATAGGGAATGCTCTTTTACTTTGGGGGGGATTTATGTATCCCCCGTATAGTTTTTAAAACTTTTCAGATTTTTCTGCACACCTGGGGAGTGCACCAAGTGTGCAGGAAAATCTCTTTGCCCCCCAAGTGCCCTCGATGTGCGGAATTAAATATCTGCACAGAGGGGGCATCTTGGCCATCAATATATAGATACTGATACTGATATATAGATATACTGATATATACTAATATATACTGATATATACTGATATATACTGATATATAGATACTGATACTTAAAAACAATACTGTCTCCTGATTTTTAGTGGAACTGAATTTTTTTATCAATGTTATGATGAAAGCCAGCGGAATGTACTTCTACACACTATTATGACACATGAACTCTAGACTGCATTTGAAATAGGAAGGCTTATTATTGCAGTACCTTCTATGCAGCCGATTAGGACACAAGGCGATATCGTATGAGGCCTCTATTGTACACCTTAGCTTTGGACCACTGCTAATTATTATAATTTTCACTTGGTCCTATATTGATTAATACTTTGTTTTATTATTGCAACATTGAGCCTACATGTATTATTTATGCTTAACCAGAGAAGAAGGCCAGTTGGCTGAAATGCGTTGAGTCACATAAGGTCCTGTTTATGAATACTGTATGATTTTAATTCTTGTTGAGACTGCATTTGGGCCTATAACTTTTAAAATAATTTGTAATAAATAGATGTCTTTCTGATAACCTGTATTTTCTGTACGTTAATGCTCTATAACTATTGATTTTAAGATTGGGGTGTCCTATTTGTATCTTTTAGTTTCTTAATTCATATTTCTTGGGTTACGTTTTGTGTTCCCCTTCTTTTTCTTTCCTTGTAGCATAACATATTACAGCGTGTTAGCCTTTAATAAGGCCTTTAGGCTTATTATAGTCCTTTGCCCTCTGGCACCAGGTGGTCTCTGGGATCCAATCAGGGATCTTGCTTGATGGAACTCATCCACTCCGAACTTCCCCCTCCCATCTAGTTACACAATTGAGCACTTTGTTGTTGTTCAGTCGCACAGTCGAGACCGACTCTTCGCGACCCCGTGGACCACATCACGCCAGGCCCTCCTGTCTTCCGCCATCCTCTGGAGTTTGCCAATCAAGCACAGGTTCTCACAACTAATTACCACATACTTGAATCTGGCCTTGAAAGAGATAAGGATGGTAAAGCAGGAAGGCCTAAACTATTGACACCCACAAGCCAGAGCAGACTGGCTAATAATCACATTAACCATTGAAGGGGAATTAGGATGCTTTACCTCACAACTTCCTGTTGCTTGTAGCATGGGCCTAACTGTGAAGCAGGTGCTATGCTTTCTATATTGCGAATATAGATTTCCTACTGAACACAAATTGTTTGTCCCCATCACTTTTTAAGCTAGTCACCCATGTTAGAGTCTAAAGTCAGGTCTGAGGACTTGCCCTATAACACTTGCATTTGGAAAGCCGAGGGTGGGATTTGCTTAGAAAACTTAAAATGGTATTTACTAAGAAAATCACATGCCAAGTGCAAGAGTGGTTTCTGTGGTAAAGAAAATAAACATTAGAGAAGTAAGGCTTGTCATGGATGCACCAAAAAAAGATAACAAACTGACTGGGATTAATAAAGTGTTTCTACACATTCCAATCATTTGGTAGGATTCTTCCTGGTACGTAAACATTGTACTCTCATTAGTATACTCTAGTTTTGTGTGAAAGTTACTGCAAGAAGACTATTGATGTTTGAAGTAGTGTGCTATTGGTTTAATTAGTATAACTGATAACTTAATTTTACATTTCTTTTTAGTATATTATCTCCCGTGCTTATTGAATATGATAAACATTTGGAAGAAATGAGTGAACAACTGCGATACTGTCAGGTATGAATAATGAACTAGCAAACTTAACAATTAGTATCTTGCTGAACTAAAGTGTTTTAAGTGTTAAACCTTTTTTTTTTGGCTACTGAATTGTAAATTGTCCTATTTTAATAGTGAAGCATCTGAATGGTTTTGATTATCTCTTGCATCTTATTGTATGCAATCTGAACTTTTAGCCCCTGTTAAAATGCTTACTTGTCCTGTATTGGCTTCTCTTTAGGGACAGATGGGCGAAATGAAATTAAAACTTGGACAGGTCACCAAGGAAAATGAAAGGTAGAGTCAGTAATCAATGCATGTTCCAAAGATGTTCTATGATTTTAAAGCAAAACTGTTATTCTTCTGAGTAGCATTTGATAAAATCCCAGTTTTAACTTTGTTTGTAAATTCAAATGATACATGTACAGATCCACCTAACAGTCATAGGATCCAAACCACATTTTACTAACATGTCAACAACAATATTAGGAACCTTATCAAGTCTTACTGAAATCAATAAATTATGTCTACAGCATCCCCCTGATCCAGGAGGTAGTAACTTTTTTAAAAAGAGAGATAAGTTTAGTCTGACATGATTTGTTCTTGAGAAACCCATGCTGGTGCTTAGTAGTCACAGCTGTCCTTTTTAAAAGCTCAAGGACTTATTGTTTGATGATTTGTTCTAAAACGTTTCCAGGTATAGATGTCAAGCTGATGGGTCGGTAGTTACCTGGATCCTCCTTTTTCTCCTTCTTGAAGATGGGGACAACATTTGCCCGCCTCCAATATTCTGACACCACACCTGTTCCCCAAGAATTCTCAAAAATAATGGCCAGAGGCTCAAAAATTACGCCCACAAGTTATTTTAGTACCCTTGGATGCAGTTCATCTGGCCCTGAGGACTTACATAGTTTCATTTAAAGAAACCAGGACCAATTCTGCAAAAACAGTCATTCCACCCTCAGTCTCCCATTTCCCCTGCAGGGGAAATTGGGGGGAGATGCGGGTCAAAATTCAGCAGTGCAGCAAACAGTGGGAAATTAAGCAGTACAACCGGGAAAATGGGAGACCAAGGGTGGAGCAACTGCCTTTGCGGAATCGGTCTAGGTGTTTATGTACTACTCCTATGCTGATCCTAGGCTGCAACTCCCTTCCCTCATAATGTGTTCTGTTTTTGCCATGTTGCTCACCTTTTCCCTCACAAGAGAAGACTTATGAAAAGTAGGAATTGAGCAGTTCTGCCCTCTCTTCATGACCTGTTAAAATTTCACTTTCCTGTTCCCGCAATGGACCTATTGTGCCCTTGCCTGGACTCCTCTTTAACGATGGAGGCCCAGGTGGCAGCCACTGCCAGGGCGGCCTTTTACCATCTTCAGCTGACTCGGCAGTTGGTCCCCTACCTTAGCCGTGAGGACCTGGCCACGGTGATCCATGCGACGGTCACCTCAAGGCTAGACTACTGTAATGCTCACTACATGGGGCTGCCTTTGTCGGAAGTCCGGAAGCTGCAGCTAGTGCAGAATGCTGCGGCCAGGCTGTTGATGGGTCTCTCGATGAGGGACCACCTTCGGCCTGTGCTGAAAGCGCTGCACTGGCTGCCGATAGCGTACTGCATTCACTTCAAAGTGCTGGTTTTGACCTTTAAAGCCCTTTATGGCCAGGGTCCAGCCTACCTGAGGGACCACCTTTCTCCATATGTTCCCCCAAGGACACTACAGTCGGGGTGGGCGTCATCTGGAAATTCCAGGCCCGAGAGACATTAAATTTGCGGTGACCAGGACCAGGGCATTTTCGGTGGTGGCTCCTACCTGGTGGAAGGAGCTCCCGGAAGAGATCCGGGCCCTGTGGGACCTCTCTCAGTTCCGCAGGGCCTGCAAGACGGAGCTCTTCCGCCAGGCCTTTGAGTAGGAGCCGCCGCCACCACTATTCCACCTTTGCCCCCTATGATCTGGCGTATTAACATCATGATTGCCTGGCCCCCCAAGGGGGGAGCGAGGCGCCTGGGCTCAGCTTAGATTATAAGATTTTAGGAAGTAGTTTGGAAGTTAAGATCTACCCATCTTGTCTAAATCTGTTTGTAAATTTGTTATTGTATTTTATTGTAATTTGTTGTTTTTAAACTATGTGTTTACTGTTTTAACCTCGGCACATGGTGCCCTTGTTAGCCACCCTGAGCCTTCGGGGTAGGGCGGGATATAAATTCAAATATAAATAAATAAATAAATAAATACTGGCATGATGACAGAAGGTTGTTTACTGGTATAGCCCTGCATTATCCTAGAGTAAAGATTTAGTTGCCATCCTAAGAAGTTCCAGGGTGGTATTAGGATTGTGCTCTTATTCTCCTCTTCTTTCTGTTATCACTTTCCCCCCCCTCTATCCTGACTAGATATTCCCAGATGCATTTTTAAAACCATTAGTGCTTTTCTAGATGGTCAGAAAGGATTAGAAGTTGCTGGTATCCTTTTCACCCTTAAAACCATAATTTAGAAATGTTTAAAGTTCTTGAAATACATACTATATTACTATTTGTTATATTAATGTATTATTACATATTATAATATTTTCTGTCAGAACAGGGGATACATTTATTATTTATTTATATTTTAAATTTATGAATCACCCAATCCCTGTTTGGATAGGACTCTGGGTGAGGTACGACAACGTTTAAAAACATCAAACAAGTAAAGTTAACATCAATAAATAACATTTCTTACATTCTTAAAATAATCTCGTGCCTGGCAAGGCAGGATACAAATAGAAACAATAAATGAATAAATAAAATAAAATCTCAGATGGCATTACTAATCTGTGTTTTAAACCCATTTCAGACCTTGTAGGTAGAGTAAATAGGAAGCCAAAATGGGAGAGATGGTAAAAAGGGGGGAGGGCATGCCAACCATGATGGAAAACCATCGCTGCCCTCAACCAAAAGCCTGTGGGAATATCTCTGCCTTTTAGGCCCTACATTAAATCTTACAGAACCCTGATGGTATTTAGCAGAGAGTTCCACCAGTTTGGAGCCAGGACTGAGAAAGCCCTGGTTCTGGTCGAGGACAGCGGGATATCTTTGGGGCCAGGGATCACCAGTAGGTTGTTCTCAGCAGAGCGTAATGCTCTTGGAGACATACCAGAGGAGGCGGTCCCGAAGATACATGTGTCCCAGACCACTCAAGGCCTTAGAGGTCAATACCAAAACCTTGCCAATAGGACTATTTACATATTTATTGCCTTTATATTATTTCTTGAGGCAGCTTGTAATACTGTTAAAATAAAAACATGCAAAAATGTACAAAGAAAGCAATGCAAAGGCAAATCAGACTACAACTATTAAAAGCAGCATCAAACATGTAAAACACAGGCATAAAAGCAGTAGTATGGTTTTAAAAAGTGGTCATATGAGCAAATTTACCAAGACCAGAAATATTTGCTTCAAGCTTAATTTTCTGAATACATACATGACAGTCCAGCAGTACTCTCTTCTCCTGTTGAAGCCTGCCTCCCCATAGTTTTTGTCCTTCCATGACTATCAACAGTAGATCCTGCTTCCAGAATCCATAGCAAAACCTCACAGCATCTGAAGTATAGTTAGGGGGGAGAAGAGGAATTCATTTCTGTAAGAGCAGAACGGACAATCAGTACTGTGATATCACTGTATTCCCTCAGCATTTCCTTGACAACACTGAATCTTCTGCTGTCATCTTGAAAAGGCAAAATTGATCCAGTGTCTGTGGCTGTGTACCGTATTTCCTCAGACCATATGGATGAGATCCATGTGCTGACTTGGTGCTCTCTGCAGATATTTTCCCTAGAACAGTTACTGCTTGGCTCACTTTCAGCTTGTTTCTTTGACACAGAGCTAGACGTTAGTACATTCTTCATGAAGCTCTAAGTATCCATGTGAATTGTTTCTGTGCTGTATCACAGTCATGGTCAGTAAGGTGTCTACAGATATCCCAACCATAATATTGAAAATAAATGTTCTTCCAGTTCTTGTACATGTCTCATATAGATAAACTATGTGCTTTTAACTTACAGAATAATTTAAATTGTTCTGAGCTTGATAGGTGTTTTGTTTGCAGGTGATGTTCAGTTGACAGATACAAATTAGGTATGCTCACTATGTTAAAAGCAATTGATTATTCCCCTATTTAACAGATTACACGAAGAACTGAAAGAGGTTATTGAAAAGCAGTTAGAGGCTCTGCCATCTGGTTCTCCTTCAGGAGATGTTGTTTTTATGGATGAAAACTTAATAAGAAACCTTCAAGAACAGCTACAGCTTGCAAATAAAGTGAGTTGAAACATTTATACTTCATTATTTCTTTGGGGGTCTCTTTTGAATGCCAGATTGCACTAGTTTTAAGGCCTGTATCTGCCGAGGCAGAGGTTATATGCACAGTTGCTTTTTGATTTTTAAACTGCTTTTAATTCCAGGGTTTACAAACTAATATTAGGTCTCTGAACTTCAGTACGCCTTCCAAGTAATCATGCTTAGGACCTCATTCTCTTGGAGATGGAAAAATAAACTCTGAGTTCCCTTTGGGTGGCAGCAAAGGAGGGCAAAATTCAAGTAATTAAAAATATAGAAGCAGTTGTGCAAATGCATAGAAATATAAACATATATAGCTACTGCTTAAATAGGACTCATTGAAAATACGTGCATAATAAAGTAAAGAAGCTTTTTTTTAATAGGAAGCAGAGTGATTTTCCTACAAAGCCAATCTATATTCTGTAAATGTGAAAGACTGTGGTATACATCTTCTAAATAATAGCAACATAATTAGTTACAAAATGGAAGTAAAGTTGCTTTCTTGGATATTCACCTCGTTTTTAATTTTTGCAGGAAAAAGAGCATGCAATAGAACTTTCTCATACAGCATCACAAGAATTGGAACGACTTCAGCAGATGTTCCATAAACAAATGACAGAAGCTCAAATTCATATTGCTGAAAACCATAAACAGAAAGTAATGCCATTTCTATTGATCTTTGTTTTTCAGGACGACATCTTTATTAAACTTTAATTGAAATTTATAAAGCATTAGCATTGATAAAATTTGAAAGCCAGAGGTTAGAAATCGCATATCTATATACTGTTAGCCATCTCTGGCCCCCATCTGCAGATAGCTAAATCCACAGATTAGGGCCACATGGAGGCTATACAGATTTTTCTGCAAATTTGGTGCACTTCCCAGGTTTGCAGAAAAGTCTGAATTCAACATTAAAGTATATGGGGGGAGGTGTTCGCCCCCTGGATACTTTTGTATCTTACCTGTTCAGAATGGAACCACTATAGCCCAGCCCAGTGGTGGACATTGGCAGCTGCGATGGGCATGGCCTTAATGTCAAAGGACACTGGCAGTTCACCAGCCTGGCCATGGTGATGGAGGATGCCTGGGAGTCCCTGCAGCCCAGCTGCAGTAGAGGAGGATGTCCTGCAGTCACTGCAGTCTGACCTTGGTGGCAGAGGACACCCAACAGCCACACTGGGCCCAGATGCAATGGAAGAGGACACCCAGGGATAGCTGTGCCCTGGCTGTGAGGGAGGATGACTCCCGGCAGCTGCTACAGCCCAGCTGGGGTGGCAGAGGATGCCTAGCAGCTGCATCAGATTCAGCAGCAGCTGTGGAGGACAGTGTCAGCCACGCCAGACTTGGCTGTGGCTGAAGAGGATGCTGGTAGCTGTGTCGGGCCAGACAGCAGCTGAGGAAGACGCCAGGCTCGTCTCCCCCACAAATCTCCCCCTCACTGAGCTATAAGGGAAATTCCCCCCACAGGTATCATGAGTCTTCACTGGTATTTATTATTCTTTCAGAGCACCTGATTTTGGTTCATCTCTGGATGTTCAGATGATCCCACTGTTGACTTACTCAGTTCTAAAAAAATCCCAAGAATTGTTGCTTCTGGTGGAATTGCCAAGGATGAAGTTGCAGAATTATGTTGGCTATAGCCTGCCCCCCACTCTTTAAATAGTTTTCCACACAACTCTACATGCCTGCATACTGAACAGTAGGGCATGGAATCATGGCCATTGTAGACTCAGCATGGTACAATGCCTACAGAGGTGAGCTGGCTGGAAGAGAACCCACTTCCACTACAGATACAGTGTCGGGCAGGTATGGGGGAAGTGCCACCTAGTCTGTTGCCTCATGAAGCTCAGGCACTGTCCCAGATTCCCCTGCAACCTTGCCTCAACCCAAATTACAGCTACACTGGAGGAAACTGTGTATTACTCTCGCATTACATCTAGCCCCAGCAGTGGCGATGTATCTAACAGAAGTGTGACAGTTCTCCACCACTACCATGTCCAAGCACCCCATTAGGAAATGGGATTAACACCAGGGGCCCCTTCCATATTGTTGGGGCCTTTGAGATAATCTCCCATTTCCTTCTAGGAAGCATGCTGAATGGAGCAGTGCTCCAGCTCTTTAGCTCTGCTAGTACTGTTAGTTGCTCTCCAGTGTACTAAGACCAGTGGAGAGAGGAGAACAATGATGGCAGGGCCCATGGGCACCCTCCTCCAGTGCTCAAGGCCCCATAAAAGCCTATAGCAGTGATATGCTACGATTGCTTTTTGTGCATTTTGTCTGAAATATCTGGCTAATGGTTGGAGAAAAAAACTACGGACTAGCCAGTGAGCATTAATATTTTTTCTATAATAATCATACTTAAATATTAAGCTTGAACATTTCTGTTTGTGATAAATGCTTTAGATTGTAATTACCTGCTGTGCATCTTCTTTTCTAGGGTCAATTGACAAGCTTTCAGCAACTAACAAAGCAACTGCATTTAGCCAATGAAAAAACAGAGTCAGTAAGTGAAAAATTGTGAATTTTTTTTTAGCTTAGATGATCCAGATGTGCATTAAAGGAGGACAAACTTAAAACAATTGCAAATACCCCCAGAATATTATGGACAATTCCTATATAGGCGTGCCAGTTTTGGTATTCATAAAATTGTACCATCAATATATTGATTCTCAATATGGCCAGATCTATGGATACTTAAATCCAGAGACTGGAGCAATAAATAGAAAAGAGAGATCTTTCTACAAACTTTTAAAAGCCCCAGTTTGCAGAAAAATAAAATAATAAAAACTGTGGCTGTAGATTTAAGAAACAAAATGGTTGTTTTTGGAGTTACTAAGTCACCATGACAGTATTGCCAGCCTTCAGACTTTGGTTTCTGTTAGTAAAAGGCAAGGGGAGGGGGCAGGCTCTTTACAGGGCTATTTTGGCCTTTGTGGAAGTACTCATTGGGGCCAGGCCAGGCAGCAACCAGAGGCAACTTTATACCACATGACTTGCATGACTCACCCAGGCCAAGCTGCTTGCTATTGTTTAGCAGAAGTCACCCCACAAAACTAGAGTGGAATATTAGTTAGAGTTTCAGACCAGGATCTGAGAGACCCAGATAGGGTTCCCAAGTACTTACCGTGATTCGGCAGCGGACACATGATCCCCGGCCGGAACATTCCTCCCTGTAACGCACCATGCCGTCGCCAGGAAGTGATGCTGGGCGACGCTCTGACAATGGGGCTGAAAACCCAATGGTACCATCAAGTTTCCAGCCCCATTGCCAGAGCGTCGCCCAGCGTCACTTCGTGGGGACGGCATGGTGCGGCGCGTCTGTTGTCCGCACGGGAATGGTCCTGGGAAGAAGTATGTGTCCCCTGCTGAATCACGGTAAGTACTTGGTAAGCCTGGACCCCAGAAGGAGGGAGAGTACAGGGGAAAGTGAACTGCTCCCCAAAAGTCCTTACAGGTTCCCTGCTGGGCAGTTGGGCCTAACCTGGCAGCTGACCCTGTGGAACCGGGCCTTAGTTTTCCCAGGCAAAGGCTGGTAGGGAGAAGGGAAGGAGGGAAAGCTGAAGTCGGGAGCAGATGAAGGTAGGTTGGCTGGTGAGTGAGAAGGAGAGGCTGTGGGGGGCCTTCAGGGAAGGGAAAATGAGATGCCCCCCGACAAGTGTTTGCACGTCTCTAATTTATATTTATTAAATTACTATATTAAAAACTTAGACCCGAACTGCTTGCTTGAGTATATGGACACTTCCACTCACACCAGGAAGAGCATTACTTCACAGATCCCTCTTTCTTTACTGCAGTCCCGCATGTCTCACATCTAGCACCAGTTCCAGTGGTTTTCCTAGAACTCAGAATCTGCTTTCTATAAGGGGCTACAGCAACAGAGAGGAAACATGAAAGCTGCATGCCCTGAGCAGAGCTCTGCTTGCTTCTTGTTGAATTCCAGCCAGTACTTTCTACATACGTGCTGTTAAGTTGCAACTGGCTTATGGCAATCCCAGCAAAGGACTTTCAAGACACTGCCTTCCTTTGCAGAGTTCTCCTTGGTGGTCTTCCATCCAAATACTGGCTCTATTTAGCTTCTGAGATCTGACAAGATCCTTGACAATGGCTATTCCTTAAACACCACTGCCAAAAAATTCTACACCTTGCCCGAAGGGACAATGGATGATCTCAAGGTCCCTCTAGTGCAGGGGTGGCCAGACTGCAGTTCGGGAGCCACATGCAGCTCTTTCACACACATTGTGCGGCTCCTGGCAGGGTAGCTAGGGAAGTGAAGGGTAGGCATGCCTCCCTGACCAGTCTTCTCTTCCCTAGCCAGTGTTTCCCTTCCTGGGTCGGCTTGAGGTGGGGAGAAGCAGAGAAAGAAAGCAATTTTAATTTTAAATGCGTTCTCAAAGCCCCCCCCCCCCGCCCCGCCGCCAGCTTGGAGAAAGCATTTGTCTCTTTAAATATCATTATCAATATCTGTTTTTACACCTTTTGTTTTTATTTCTGGCAGTCTTATTTAATATTAATAAAAAGCAAATTTGCATATTTTCCAATAAAAACATTGTGCAATATTTGGTCATGTCTCGTGGCTCTCAGACATCTGATGTTTCTACTCTGTGGCTCTTACATTAAGCAAGTTTGGCCACCCCTGCTCTAGTGGTCGCTCTTCATTCTGGAGCTATTCTTTCTAAGGATGGGGACAACGTACTAAAGGATCCCGTTAACAGAAAAAAATGAGACAGCCCTTTAAAAATCACACTACGCAGCTTCCCTCGCTATCAGGCTTCTGCAGTCCTTCCCAACATTGTGTGAGCAATCATGATTTGGGCAGATAACCTCCTACAAGATATGGAGCCCAACCCCTGACTCTCAAGAGATCTTCATTTAAGATCAAAAGAGCAGCTGAATTCACTTCAGATGCATCACAAGATTCCATGCAATTCTGCACCAGGATGCAAGCCACAAACATGGTCATCGGAAGAAAATTGTGGCTAAAGCAATGGGAGGTAGATCCTCTATCCAAATCAAATTCATCTGCAGAAAAATTCTCAGGAAGATTGCTCTTTGGGGACAGAGCTTTGGATGAGATTCAGGTAGAAACCAAAGAAAAGAAAAAGGCTATGCCTTCTACTTCCACTAAAGAGAGAGACATGAAATGAAAACTCTTTCACTCCTTTCTTTCGTATAGGAACCCTACAAGAAGTAGAGAGGGCAGGGGTTGCAGAAATAACCATCCTTTTGGATGTAGATCCAGATTCTAGCACAGACAGTTCCCAGCTAACAAGTAGGACCAGAACACTTCTGGGAAAAAGACTACAGCATGACTACATGATAGGAGACCATCTACAGGACTTTGCCCATGTCTGGAAGAAGTCAACTACCGATTGTTGGGGCCTTTCAATTGTAGGCCCTAGCCCTGGTTGCAGCACGTCAGGCCTCCTTGGGGCCTGGAATCACTAGGCGATGTTGTGCCCCAGACCATAGGACTCTTTGGGGTATATACAGGGAAAGGTGGTCCCTCAGGTATGTCGGACCCTAGCCATATAGGGCTTTAATGGTAAGAACCAGCCCTTTGAAGCAAACCCGGTATGCTATTGCCAGCCAGTGCAGCGCTTTCAGCACAGGCCAGATGTGCTCCCATCTAGGGAGACCCACCTACAGCCTGGCCGCAGCATTCTGCACTAGCTGCAGCTTCCGGATTTGCGACAAAGGCAGCCCCATGTAGAGAGCATTACAGTAGTCTAACCTCGAGGTGACCGTCGCATGGATCACTGTAGCCAGGTTGTCGCGGTCAAGGAAGGGAACCAACTGCCGAATCAGCCTAAGGTGGTAGAAGGCCGACCTGGCAGTGCCTCCATAGTTAGGGAGGAATCCAGGAGCACTCCCAAGCTCCTAATCTCCGGCGCTGGCTGTTATTATTTCTGTATCCTCCATTAGTCTCTTGTTATGCTTTGCACTGAATAAAGATCATTCATATTTGTAATTGTCTCTGATGTGGTAATTGAACTCCAGGGCTAAATCTTGTGTCTAGGCTGACCAATGAGCTACCACTGTGAGCGTAATTGTGTGCACCTCTGAGTTAGAGTTGCGGATGTGTTAAGTCCCAGATGCCAGCTAAGAGATTGAATCTCTGCTTAGGCTGGGTGGGAACCCCTTTGAGGAGATTCTGGTGGCAAACTTGTGAATCCTAAAGAGAGAGTACAGACTGTCTTGTGGATTTTGTTTCATGTGCTGAGATATAGGGTTCCCTCTCACCCCTGGACTGGGCAGAGTGGGTTTAATCCTGTACACTGGTTTACTGCATAATTCACATGCGAGGCCTCGGTTCAACTGCCAGAATACTGCCTGGAGGTCTGCTTATCCCCTGCTGCTGCCTATCTGTCTGAAGGCTCTGGTCTAGCTCCCAGCCCTGGATTCTTGCTCAGCATTCCTCAGTGGTTGCTTCTAGCCCCTTGATGTTAAGCTTTTGAGCTAGCCAGGTTCCAAACTCCCGAGGAAGTAAACCTGCTGCTCTCCTGGTTAGGCATACCACCTGTCTTATCATCTGGAGATCCTGGGCTTTGTCTGCTCCCTGGCTTCTTGTCCTTGCTATCTAATTTTCTTTTCTCCCTCCCTTCTATCTGCACTGGCCCTTAATTCCTCTTCCACCTGCTTCACCCACTTTCTGGGTCTGTTGCCCTAAACTTACTCCTGCGGAGGTCTGTAGTCCTGCCACAGCCTTTACTCCTCAAGGAGGCTAGGATCCAGTCTTGCTTTCTCACCTGTTGGTGTAACCACTCTTGGGGCTGTCTTGAGTTCCTCCCCTTCACACCCTGACCTGAACACTGTGGGATGTGACATGATACTTACTCTAGAAGATAAGGTCAGGATCTGACAATCTGCTTCTGCATGTGAAATAACACCTCAGTCATACGTAATTTTACTGTCTAACTCTGTAGTATTGGTTTATGAAAGTACTGGGCTTCATGAAAGAATTAGAGTAATGAGAACAGAGAGCCTGAGTGGAGCTGTTCAAAGTGATTAAAGACAGGGCTGTTCATATCAAGCCAAGGCATGAAGGGACTTGTTTATGTTGGATACAGAAGCAGTAGGAAACAAATGATATAATGGGGGGAGGTCAAAATTATACAAACAGCTGAATTTTAGAGATAAATAAGAGGCTTAAAATGAGAAATGGAACTAGTAAGGAAGATATTGGCATAGTCAAGCTGGCAAATGGTGAAGGCCTGAACATAGGTCTTGGAAGAGTCAGCAGTCAAAACAGAGCAGATTTGAAAGAGTTAAGTCTAAAAAGTCTCAGATGTATACTTATGACCTTTAAAAATAACATCTGAAGTTGGGATTGGTGTCAAAGAACATACTTGCTGCAGTATAAAACTACTTGCTTTTGACATATTATGGTAAAATGTATTTTAAAAAGCTTTTCTCTTTTTGTAGATCAATCAGTTATTTCTAAAGACTGTAAAGGAACAGAATGTAGAACTGGAACAGCTGCGTAAGCAACTCAGGTATGAATGAGACTCCTAGTCATTCCTATTTTCGTTAGATTAATATTATTTAGAAGAAGAGGAGGAGGAGGAGATTGGATTTATACCCCGCCCTTCACTACCCAAAGGTGTCTCAGAGCAGTTTACAAACTCCTTTCCCCCGCCCCACAACAGACACCCTGTGAGGTAGGTGGGGCTGAGAGAGCTCTGACAGAAACTGCTGTGACAGAACTATGGCTTGGCCAAGGTCATCCAGCAAGTGCAAATGGAGGAGTGGGGAATCAAACCCTGTTCTCCCAGATTAGAGACCGTGCACTTAACCACTACACCAAACTGGCCAGGTACTGTGTACCAGTGATGGCTGTTAGTTGATCTGGAGATAATTGTTCTGACCTTGGCCTCAAGCTGCATGTAATGATTAGAACTCCCAGCATAGTTTAAATAGCAATTGTGGGTAGCCCTGATATAGATTAAGAGAAAGGAGTGTTTAATCTCCCCTCCCTTTTCTCCTATTGAAAATGCTCCCCCAGCGGTTTTTAGCCCTAGTTGATAAAGAAGGCAGGGTGCCCCATTTTTCTCCTGCTCTCTTTCCTACAACAGACTTAAGTACTTCAGTCTGTAAAGGGTAGAGCTTTGATTGGTATTTATATTTCCATGAGAAAAGTGGCCATTTTTTGCTTCTGTATCTCAGTGGCCTCTGGTGAGTCTTGAAATCTATTTTGTACCTAGCTCCAAGGAATCCGGGGATCCCCTTCTTTGAGCCTGTGGGCACCTTTAGAATTCTGATACAGGGGGTGGGCATAGCCACAACAAATTACTGCCACAGGAGGCAGAGCCAACCACAAAATGTCAGGAAGTGAGTTAATGCATAACTCTGACATAGCATTTCAAGATTTCAGGTGGAAGCTCTGCTTAGCAGGATTCCTATTAAAATGAACATACTGTTTAAAAATATTTTCTTGCATACACAGAGCTTATCTTCAGTCACACAGTGAAGATACTTGGGCCATGGTGGCAGCTGCTCCTGAAAGCAGTTTTTAAAAATCTGTTTAGACAATCAGATCTCCAGTGGCTAATCAGAAGCTCTGCTGAACAAAAGCCTCCCCCGCCCCCCACTTTCTAAAAACACTTGGTGGGTGCCAGGAAAGATGTCATTGAGCACCATGGTGCTCAGAGGTGTCATGTTCAGGACCCTGGTGTAATCTAATTAATTTTGCAACACCTTCTGGTCTTCTTAAAAAAAGTTACAAATGACAGTCTTTTCAGTCATACCCTGAACCCTCCCCCCTCATTTTTTGTTGTACTGAATGCCAGCCTGATGAAGGATTCTTGTAATTTTGTAGCAGACACCCAAGAAAATAGAGTTAAAATTCAACGAGACTTGAATACTCAGGAGAAGTAGGCAGTTGCAAACAGGATGCAATTCAACAAAGATAAATGCACAGTATTACATCTGGGCCACAAAAGTGTCAACCACAAATACTGGATGGGGGATACGTTTCTGGGGAGTAGTGTATGCGAAAGAGATCTTGGGGTAAGAGTGGACTGTAAACTAAATATGAGCAGTCAGTGTGATGCGGTGGCAAAAAAGGCAAATTCAGTCTTGGGTTGTATTAAAAGGGCCATAGCATCGAAATTACAGAAGGTTATAGCCCCTCTGTATACTGCCTTGGTCAGGCCGCACCTGGAGTACTGTGTGCAGTTCTGGAGGCCTCAGTTCAAAAAGGATGTGGACAAAATTGAGAGGGTGCAGAGGAGAGCGACGAGGATGATCAGGGGTCTGGAGACTGAGCCCTACGAGGAAAGTCTAAGGGCCTTGGGAATGTTTAATTTGGAGAACAGAAGGTTGAGGGGGGACATGGTTGCTCTCTTTAAATATTTGGAAGGCTGTCATTTGGAGGAGGGCAAGGAGCTGTTCCAGTTGGCAGCAGAGGATAGGACTCGAAGCAACGGGTTTAAATTACATGGAGAAAGGCATCGGCTGAATATTAGGAAAAATGTTTTCATGGTCAGAGTGGTTCAAAGGTGGAATCAGCTGCCTAGAGAGGTGGTTAGCTCCCCTTCACTGAAAGCTTTCAAGAAGAGGCTGGACGAATATTTGTCAGAGATGCTTTTGGCTGGTCCTGCATTGGGCAGGGTGTTGGACTAGATGGCCTGTATGACCCCTTCCAACTCTATGATTCTATGAATTTGAACGCTTGTGTGCTGCTTTAATTTTGCCTAATAGAAAGATATTCTACTGCTGTGGTTTTCTGTATTTTTTTCCCCATTGGACCAAATCTTGTATCTGAATTTGTTATCATTTCTTATGTCAGTCATGAGAATTTATCGAGGTAAAAGTTTAATGCCACTGAACATACTTTGTCAGCATATCTCTTTCTCATGTGTCTGTATGTGGATGTCATAGGGATCCTCTAGGGTAAAGTTTGTAAGGACACTCCAAGGAAATTTTTTAAACATTTTTTAAATATGGTAGAGAATGTGAGTTCTAGAGAAGAGAGGGATGTTGAAAATTCAGGACAGAAGAGCAGTGGGGCTTGAAGTATAAGCCAGAGGGCTGAGTGAATGAGTGAGGACCTAAGGAATGCAACTTTTGTTGGGGAAAGATCACAGATCTTGCATAGAAAGGAGTAACAGAAAGCAGAAAAGCTTTACAAAAAACAACAACAATGGAATTGGGATAGCTTTCAGCATCTGGTTTCCAGTAACTCAGGACTAGACGGTAAATAGGAGGCAATAAATCTCCTTTCAAATAAGAAGTGTGTTTAGTATTCTAACGGAGGGAAGCCTTTGTTTCTCCTTCATGTTCTAAAGTAGTTAAAATCCAAACAGAGGCATCATGCACCTGTTATTTAAATCAAATGAGGAAGTCTTGAAATCAATTTGATTCAGTATTCCTGAGTCCTGTCCATAGATACCTTCAGTTGGTGACATCATCATCATTATTTTAGAGATTGATCAAATAAACTAGATTATGTTTATTCACATACCAGCTTCCTCAAAATCTTCACATGTATTTTCAGTCTTGTATGTTAAGGGCAGTGTTCCCTCTAAGCTTAGTGTGAGCTAGCTCAAAGTTTGTTAGCCTCCGGCTCACCCATTTTTGTCTTAGCTCAGGAAGACAAATTAACTCCAGAGCAAACTAATTTATGCAGTAGCCAAATTGCTTGCTCACAACTTTAATGCCAGTAGCTCACAAAGTAGAATTTTTGCTCACAGAACTCCGCAGATTAGAAGGAACATTGGTTAAGGGTACTTTACTTTTGTAAAAACTGAGACAGAATCCAATTGTTTCATGAGCATTTGTTGGATTTTTTCAGGTCCTTCATGGAAAGCATTTATGTTTGATTTGAAATTTACAGTATCAAATCCTATTTTTAACATTGCAATTCACTCTTATCTTTTCATAGTTATTTGCTTATCTTTTATTGTTTGCTTTGCATCTATGAGGGGTTTAAGGAGGAAATGTACATAGTGTTAAGCTCTGAGAATGATAGTTAAAATTGCCACTTTTATAGAAAGGTTGCATTTTGTGGTCTTTTTTCCATTGGAGTTGATTAAGTATATTTGAAAATTACTCTTGAAGTTGAAAATGCAATTAGAGTATTCTCCTGTATCATTCAGAAAAAATACTTGCATAAATAATTGATCACTGTTTCCCTAGGAGCTTTTTGTTACATAAGTAGCAGAGAATGAGAATGAATAAATATTTTAAATATTTTAGTGTAACAGTCTTATTTATGCAGTGAAGGTAAGCATAGGAACATAGTTGCTCATAGTGTATAGCCAATGAATTTTTAAAAACATGCATGGATATTGTTATGAAATTATGTAACTCTGTTAAGCACTATGTAGATAATTTAAAATAGTACTTTAAGGATGCAAGTATCAACAATACTTGCTTCAAGTATCAACAATAAATATTTGCTGAAGACCATAGATTCTGGTAACTGCTCATGCTAATGTAAGTGTATGCCTTTTTTTGTTGTGCTCTGTATGTAGAGCTTTCCCCCCAAAGTATAATAAGGCAGGTTTCATATATTATTTAGTGGAATCTGTCGATAAGCTTCCTTGGACATTACACATACCTGCTTTTAATATATGTATGGGCTTGCTATGTAGAAAATTCACATTTCCCTGTGAACAACTGGAGCTATTGGGAAATTTTTCCATGGAATAAGCCACTTACAAATACCATAGTACTCACATGCACCCTTTGCCGCGTAGCAACAGTATTGGGTAGTAACCTCATCCCCTCCAGTACATATCAAATGAGCCTAGGAGACATGAAAAAAATGAGTGATACTGGCTCATTGTAAATATTTTGCTTTAGGATGGGAACTATTGTTTTTTTCATGACAAAATTGCTTTTAAAATAGCTGTTAAACGTAATTTCTATCTCAGTTGTGTTTTCAGGTTCTGGGTGTTCGAATATAGTAAAACCCAGTGTCCTTTGCCACCACAAATAGTTTTTGGTGTTTTTGGACATTTTGCTACACCAGGATACACTGGAATTTCACTTAGGATATGAATGTACTCCAGAGGACACTTTGGAAAAGTTTTATTCCAAGCATGCTAGCAGTATTAAGATGGGAAATGTAGTTACTGTGATTGATAGTTTGAAGAACCAACTGGTATTTTTACAGTTGAAGAGTATCTGTGTTTTTATGTGTAGGCAATCCAAATTTGACTTGAGAACTGCTGTTGCAAAGGTTGATGAAATGACCAGGCTGATTGAAGATTTTCAGAACCAGATGGACAAAAAGGTATAACAGGACAAGTTAAGTTGTTTATCTTGTTGCAGATTCAAATAATTAATTGATCGTTATTTTATTGGCTCATGTGACATATATTTGAGCAACAGTTCTCCTAAGTATCTTGAATAATTTTCTTGGCTCCCAGGAAGAAGATGTGCGAGCTGCTCGAGAAAGAGAGGAAGCATCAGATAAACGTTTGCAGCAATTGCAGTCTAGCATAAAACAGCTGGAAACAAGGTAAGTAATGACATCATGCATGGTTCTTCGCTGGGACTCTGAAATCCTAAAAACAGTGCAAAGATACTTTTCTTCTGTAAGATTAACTTTCTGGTGGATAATCTTGTTTGTGTGTATATGTTCTCTGTGCTCATACAGAGCTTATTTGAAGATTGTATTCTTTTTCTTATTGTAACTTACTATGTTTCTAACCTTTTTCAGGTAAGCTTCTGTTTTTACTTTGATACATTATTGCAAGACTTAACTCTATAAACTGAAGTCCAAGGACAGCTGCATAGACAATGGTCTCCATACTCGTATCCCCAGACATACCAGCCAAAAGGATAGTTGCCTTTGTTAGGGGCAGTGGATCAATAGTAGAGCATCAGCTTTGTGTTCAGAAGGTCCACTGTTCAATTCCCAGTATGTCCTCTTAAAAGGACCAGAAAATAATAAAAAATAACTTTTATTTATTTAAAAAAAAGACCAGGTAGGAGGTGATGTAAAAGACATCTTCCTGAGACCCTGGAGAGCCACTGCTGTGCTATATACAATACTTACCTTGATGGACCTAAGCTCTGATTCCATTTAAGACAGCTACATATGTTCCCCATGTTGCTCACCTGTGGAGAAGTGAATGGGTGCAGAAAAGGTTGGCTGGATTCAGTCCACCACTGAAAGATGTTAGCCCTAAATCCTAGTAGCACTGGGCTTTCATAATGTGCATGGGCTGCCCTGATCAAGGAAATTCACTATGAATGCAGCTTTGGATGTTGGAAACAAGGTTTTATTTTGACAGTGTCCTTTTGCTTACTCTAATTGTATCCAGCAAGACAATCTGTGCACCAGTTTGGTGTAGTGGTTAAGTGCGCGGACAGTAATCTGGGAGAACCGGGTTTGATTCCCCACTCCTCCACTTGCACCTGCTGGATGACCTGGGCAAGCCATAGTTCTGATAAGAGCTGTCCTTGAAAAACAGCAGTTTCTGTCAGAGCTCTCTCAACCCCACTTACCTCACAGGGTGTCTGTTGTGGGGAGGGGAAGGGAAAGGAGTTTGTAAGCCGCCCTGAGACACCTTTGGGTAGTGAAGGGCGGGGTATAAATCCAATCTCCTCTCTCCTTCTTCATCAAGGTTGCATTCACATTTGGATTGGCCTTACAAAACAATGGCATACAGCTTTGCTACTTGGTTAAATTATTAGCCTGCTTTATGTCTGCATAGTGTTAAAATGGAGCTTTCATACTTCAGGACTCCACAGTAACAGCTATAATTCTAGGGCCTTGGTGTGCTTATTGCAGTCCTTACTTGTTACACAGAGAGTCATACTTGATCAACCTTTGATATTGTGAAAGGTCATAGGCTGAAGGTGGTCTCTTGTCAATGTTTTGGCCTTTTAGGCTTTTAAGACATTAGTTATTGTTTTGAATTGAATCTGGAACATAAGGAAGTGTAGCACTGGTTTAATTGGTTCCCATCAATCTGCCTTGTGCTCTGTGTAACACTTGGTACTTTAAAGTAGTCAGCAAATGCAGGCCCACATAAAATTCTTAAGATACTCAAAACTAGGGATGGGCACAGACCTCATTTTTGCAGTTTGGTTTGAGGTTCATGGCTGAACCACGAACTGAGACACCAGTTTGTGAACTGAACCAGTCTGTATCAGTTCATGAGCTATTTAAAGTTGAAACCCCTGCTTTCTGCTCCCCACGAAAAGCAGGGGGGAGCAGAAAGAAGGGGCTTAAATATCTCCAAGTCATTTAAACCCCTGCTGTCTGCTCTTCACAAATGGTATCAAAATTTGTGGAAGTTCGTGGCAGTTTTTCAGTTCATGAACATTGCTTCATGAACCACAAACTGGCCAAAATTTGTGATGAACTTTAGATTAGGAGCTGGTTTGTGCCCATCCCAGCTTAAAGCTGCAAAGGCAAAAATGATGGTCACTACATCTAGGATTGAAAGGGATATTGTGACCTTTTTGTTAAATAGGAGTTACTGAATGTCATCCCTGGTCACTGTTGCACCCTGGCTTTTGAAGCAAAGCAGAAAATGCAGTCCACCAACATTGGTCGAATAGTATGGCTACAGGAGGTTAAACCATGACAATAGTGGTTAAGTGCTCCAGTCTGGGAGAACCGGGTTTGATTCTCCATTCCCCCACTTGCAGTTTCTGGATGACCTTGGGCAAGCCATAGTTCTGATAAGAGTTGTCCTTGAAAGAGCAGTTCTTGAAAGAGCTCTCTCAACCCCACCTACCTCACAAGGTGTCTGTTCTGGGGAGGGGAAGGGAAAGAAGTTTGTAAGCCGTTCTGAGACTCTGAGTGAAGGGCAGGGTATAAATCCAATCGCTTCTCTTCTTCATCCTCTGTCCTTACCTATGATACAAGAAACTGACTACTGTTATTGTTTCAGTCTTGTCTAGATTCAGCTTCCATCTGTCAAAAGTTCTTCATTTTGATATACAGGTTATGTGTAACTACCAAAGATTCTGAAGAGCTGAGAACAGAAAGAAAAATCCTAAAAAAAGAGATCTCTGAGCTACACACGAAATGTGCTGCTCTAGAACAGGATAAATATGACGCTGTAATTAAGGTCCGTGAAAGCATGCAGCTCTTAGAAGAAGCCAATTTGCAAAAGAGCCAGGTAAACAAATCACTAAGGCTATGATTTTCAGATCTCTGAGTATCATAACATTTTACATTTGGGACCACTATTATTAAATCCTAACCTGGATAGCCCAGACTAGCCTGATCTCATCAGATCTGGGAAGCTAAGCAGTGTCAGCCCTGGCCAAGTATTTAGATGGGAGACTACCAAAGGAATAGGGTCGAGATGCAAAGGCAGGTAGTGGTAAACCACCTCTGAACATCTCTTGCCTTGATAACCCTACGGGGTTGCCGTGAGTTGGCTGTGACTTGACAGCAAAAAAAAAAAAAAAGCACAACTGTTATTAAACCCTATAATAAATAAAACAAACATTTTGCTGATTTGCAAGTTCATGCTTTCTAGATTGCAAACAAGTTGTTTCTTGTTTTATGCGTTCATTGCTGAGCATTCCTTATAACTTCTGAAATATGGTCATGCAGTTTTTGGAAATGAGGAATCTACTCATTGTAGTTCATATTTCCAGAAAAGATTGAACTATCCTAATGGCTGAATGATCCTAAATAAAATAAAGAATATGTCAAAAGTTATTTTTTCAACAAAATGTTTTTATAGATTTACTTGTAATATTTCATAAAACCTTCCATTTTCCTTTAGAGAATTTATTGTAAAGAGAGAATAATCACTTATTGGGTTGAACGCCTTTCTGCTAACGGTAGAACTTTGCTCTGGTGCAAGACACTTCAGAGGAAGGGGCCACTGTTAGCAAAACAAATCTGTAGGATCCAGCCCATTATCAAACATCTTTAAAACCTGGATCATAGGGCATATTTTTTGCCATCATTTCCCCCCCCCCAATAAAACACTAGTTTTTGTTGAAAGCAGAAGGAGGTTAGCAGTAAGGGAGTTCTGTGCAGCACGTAGCCAGCATGCAGGGAGGAAGGGAGTGGCAAAAGATTGGATCATCCCATGTATTATTATATCTGTGTCCTTTGTATGTTCTATCCATGAGATGTGGGGCATTGTTAAGACTGGGTCACTCAGCTGTGAGAGAATCGCAAATATCTTCACAATAGATCAAGATGGGTAGCTGTGTTAGTCTATAGCAGTAGAAAAGAGCAAAAGTCCAGTAGCTTCTTCAGATAAGTGAGCAGTGACTCACAAAAGCTTATACCCTGCCACATTTTTTTTTTTGTCTTTAAAGTGCTACTGGACTCTTGCTCTTTTCTGCCTTCACAATACTACTAAAAATCTCTCAAGAAAGCCAGAAAATTGAAAAGTGAGGTAGAGAGATTATATCTGCAAATTGCATATGTTGCTTCTAGGAAGAGGGCAAATGGTTCGACATACTTTCTGATCTAAAGCCCACACAATTTATGTGCCCAAAAGCACACAATCAGAATATGTGCTGAAATCCCTCTTGGGATTTATTCTATAGTGTTCTACCGCTAAGTCATCTTATGACAAAGAAAATGTATATCAACCATTAACTTAGGCTGGTTCAGATCTGGAAGAGTGGTCTAGATGAATAAGTGTGGAAAATCACAAAAGTAACTGAATGTGTTTGTGGAAGAGTGGTATTTATGGAGCCATTTAGGAAGCTGTCATTTTATTTACTGTTTACTAGTTTCTACCTGGCATTGTATTCTGGCTTGTTTTTCACAGGAAGATATTTTTAATGGAATGCCACTTTTATTTTATGGTAGGCAATGGTAGCTGAGAAACAAAAAGAAGAGGAAATTGCCAATATGAAGGAAGCAGTTTCTCAACTATGGCAAGATGCTGCTTCAAGAACTAGAAAGGAAGTGAGTCATCATACTTAGAGTTTACCATCATTTCTTTCTCTTCTAGATTTGGTGGCATTAATAGTATGAATATAACTTTTGAAAGTGATTTCAGTCAGTGTACGTTTCCATCTGAAAGACTGACGTTAGAACAGTTTAAATACCTTTATTTATTGGTTAAAACTGCATAGGAAAGTTTACGGCTCCCACTAAACAATGCATTCTGCTCACTTGTATGAACCTAATTCTATTTAATTCTAGTAATACAAATAAATCACATTGGACTGTATTGCAAATGAGGCCATAATAGTAGTTGGTGAGTGTTGTGGAATGAGCATATGCACAGCTGGATTAGCAAAACATGCTAAATTAATATTTATGATTTATTAATGTTAACAAAGATGTATATCTGCCTTCCCATCTTAAAAGATTATGGAATAGTGCATTTTTAATAAAAAGATGGAATTCTAACAGCGTTAACAGGAAAAAAGTAAAATAATGCTATTTCCATTTTCTTTCTTGTTTTTCCTGTTGCCTTTTACACTTCAGAAAAGTCCCTAGAGATAGTAGGACATATTGTACAGAAATAAAGGATATATAGCTCAGCAGCACATGGATCAATGCTAGTGATGCAGGGTGGAAAATTTCCGGCTATATTTTTCTGTAGAAAGATTTCCACCTCACATATGAAGCATGGACAAATCTCAGAGCTTGTACATGGTGCAGTTGCCTTCTTCTGCTAACATGGCTTATATTTTGCTAACATTATTTAAATATTTAGAGTATTTATTTACATTTAAATCAGAAATTTTTCCAATTCACATTTTCTAGAAAAACCTACATCACTGATGAAAGCTAATTTTACTACTAGTTTATCATCGATCTTCTGTGCAGTCCCACATGAGCAGGCCTGCCATCGGATAGGTCTTTACAGCTAAGAGCCTCCAAGGGGTGCTGTGCGCCAAAGTTAGGAACTTGTTCCTACCCAGGTACCATGTGCTCCTGCACAGCAGCATCCCTCCTTCCCTCAGTATCTCTTTTGCCGCCAATAGAGAAGGTCATGTTTTTGGAGCCTCCAGCTACAGTTGAGAGGATTCTTCTTCCAGATTTGTTGAAGCTACATCAGCTTTTGAGTCTCTTCCATGGCTTAGAAGGCCCTTTTCAAGAAGCACTCCCGATGTGGGGCAAAAATGACCCAAACTGCTGAACACGATCTTTGTCTGTTCTGTTTGGGTGAAGAGCATAGTGTCTTCACATGTAAGGCCTGCCAACACTTTACCCCTAAAGCTCAGGGGGATAGAGTGTTGAAACTTAAGGCAGTGTTGTAGGAGAAAGCCCTTAAAGTCTCAGAGCCCTTGTCCAAGTTGGCCCCGGAGAAAGTTCCCAGTTCCACATCTTTGGAATCAACGTGTTCATCTCCACCTCCTGGATCTGTCTCTCAATGGATCCAATCTGGGTCATGCTCTTCTCAGGCTCATTGCACCTCTTCTGAGCCTCCAACTAAGAAGGCTAGCGGCAAGACAAAGGAAAAGTATAAACCGGCTCCTCAGCAGAACATTCCTGTGTATTCCTGAGCCTACGCCAACCTTGCAGGAGAAGCCCATGACTCCGATGGGGAGGGGAATACTGGCTTACCACATGGCCAGGTTCCACGTGAGTCCAATCTGGAGCAAATGGACTCCACGTGGACCACATGGCCAGGTTCTGTTGTCTCAGCTCCAACTACCTATGTGGTAGCAGTCACATCCCTGTGTGATATCTCCAGGATATATGGAGGAATGGGGTGACATCTTTGCAAGCCCCAGGGATGCGAGTTTGTATCATTACCCTCATTCGGTGTTGTCGTATCCGCCTTCAGTGACAATCATGCACAGGCAGCGTTCTATTCCTGCAGTGAGAGGAGAAGAAACTGCGATTGAATCCAATAGATCTGACACAACATTGGATCCAAGCTCAGATGAGAAGGTAGGCAAGCCATCTCCAGCATCTCCCATGGAGGATCTCTGAATGTTTGGAGACAAGATGATTCGTATGTCCGAGTTTCTCGAGATAGTAGTCATTACCTCGGAGCACAAGCCAAAGATAAGATACTGAGTCACCTCTATTCAGAGTCTCCTGGGATTTTTGCTTTCCCAGTGTTGGAGGGCCTTGAGGACCTCACACAGGAACTTTGGCAAAAACCTGTGTCTCTCCAGCGTACCCCCAGAAGGGTAGAGCATTTTATAAGATCAAGGAGCCATTTAACTATTTGACAATTCATCCTCCGCCATTCTCCTTGGTTACGGAAAAGATGCAGCCAAAGAGTCATCAGGCCTACCACTCTGCTCCCATAGATAGGGAAGGGAGAAGACTGGATATTCTGGGTCAAAAATTATATTCTTCAGTAGTATTAGGTTTCAAAATTGCTAACTATGAAGCCATCATGGCTGGTTATCAGCTCTTCTTGTGGGAGAGGGTTCTTCTGTTCCTTGAACTCCTGCCAGAAGATAATCATCCCCTTGCTAAAGTTCTGCATATGGAGACTATTAAACTTTCGAAGCAGCAAATTAATATGGGATGACATCCTGCGGATTAGGCTGGGCAGGCCATGACGAGCTCTGCACTTAGCTAAGATCAATTACCTTGCCTATGGAAACCAGGCTTAAAGTTGAGAACCTCCTTTTCGAAGGTTCCACTCTCATCTCTTGCAAGACGGACAAGATGCTTTCCCTGATAAAGAAGAACAAGCAGACAGCTAAGTCCCTAGACGTCTCACAACTGTCCGTGTCCCAATTTAAGCAGAGGTCCTTTGTGAGACAGCCCTGGCATCCTTATCAAAGAGACTACCACTTTTCTGGCCCCTCAGGGTCTCAGTATCCTGCCTCAAAGCCATTTACCTCACAACAGGGTTACCATAGGCATAAGAGTTCCAATCAACCTAGGTCGAATCCGCAGCCATCCTCTACCAGAGAGGCAACTTCATCCCAGAAGTCATCTTTCTGACTAGGATCATTGTCAACCCCTGTTAAGTCTGGGGACAGGCTAGCTCAGTTTGCTGCCGCCTGTGAGGCTATTACCTCTGACAAGTAGGTTTTGTCCACAGTTAGATTTGGTTACAGATTAGAATTTAAGTCTATTTCCCCCGCTCTTTACCTTTAAGGAGATCCAGCCAAGCAGCTTTGGTCTTGGCCAGGCTTTGGCCTCCCTAATTGATAATGGCACCATAGAGGAGGTTACAGAATCTCAGGCATTTGAGGGTTTCTTCTCTCGTATGTTCCTAATAAATAAGAAAGATGGGGGAGTTAGACCTATTTTCGACCTCAGAAAATTAAACATTTTTCTTCACATTTCTATGTTCTGTATGGTGTCCATTCCTTCGATTTCACAATTATTAAAATTTTATTGTTGGTTCATCATTATTGATTTGAAGGATACCTACTTATATATTTCAGTCCACCCTCAACATTGCAAGTTCTTATGTTTTTCATGTGGGGAATGAGTTTTTCAGTACACTGTCCTACCCTTTGGTCTAGCCGTTGCACCCAGGGTATTCTCAAAGTGTTTAGCTCCGGTTGTTGCTTACCTCCATATGCAGAGTTGCCATATATTCCCTTTCTTAGATGATTGGTTATTGGTGCTGGATTCCAGTGACCAATTGTTAAATCAGTGCACTCTTGTCCTGGAGACATGTCAAGGATTAATTGGAATAACTTGGAATAATCCAAGTAACTTGGAATTCCAAGTAACTTGGAATAAATCACGATTAGTTCCAGCTCAGAGGGTACAATTTATCAGCGCTATGCTAGATTCCCTACTGGGAAAGGGTTTTCTACCTCCTGAAAGGGTACAGGCTATCTTTGCCTTGGTGAACAAGTCAGATCTTACCGGTTCCATTTGGTTCAGAAAGTTCTGCGCCTTTTGGGATAAAAGGTGTCTTATCACCACAGTCTTGCCTGTGGCTAGGTTACATATGTGACCCCTGCAGCTCTTGTTTCTAGTTATAGAGCTGGAGTTCATGCTTTATGGCACAGATTCTCTATTTCCAGACTGTCATATGTTCTTTATTGTGGTGGTCTGCTGTGGATAATTTATCCCGAGGGATTTTCTTTAGAGATTTTGAGCATGAGGTAGTCCTTACCACAGACACTTCACTTTTGGGTTGGGGTGCCCACAGTGTGATTGTCGGCTAGGGGTACTTGGCTAGAAAATGAGAAACTGCTGCACATTAACATTTTAGATTTTTTTGCTGTTTTATATGCCCTTAGTTCTTTTGCAGATATCCTTACAAACTGATCCATTTTTGTCCAGCCGGACAGTACAGTTATGATGTTTCATTTGAACAAGCAAGGGGATCCAGAAGTCTATGTCAGGGTCCAGAGGTCTATGTCGGGAAGCTACCCTCGCATAGGACATGGCAGTGAAGCTCAGTGCTTCGATTCAAGCTATCCACATCCCTAGGAGTTTAAACACGGAAGCCGACAGATTGAGCAGAGCCGGCACTCTCTCCCACAAGTGGTCCATAAAGACCACTTACTTAGAATTGCTTTTTACTCTCTGGGGGTTCCAGACGTCGATCTGTTTGTGACAAGAGAAAACAAGAAGGCTATAAGGTTCTGTTCCCGAACAAGAGTAGGAATTGGCTCTGAGGGAATGCGTTTCAGCTGAGTTGGCAGTGAGCCCTGTTTTGCACATTCCCTCCATTACCGCTTCATAATAGGGTAATAGAGAAAGCCAGGAGGGAGAGATCGAACATGAACCTGGTAGCTCCCTTTTGGCTTTGTCAAATATGGTTTTTGGCCCTTAGGGAGATCTCCCGGGGCCAGTTCCTTCTCCTACCAAATTGACCAGATTTAATCAGCATCAACTGGGCTTCATCAAAAATTGAACTGCCTCTTCCTAATGGCTTGGAGGCTTCAGACAGAGACCTATTTTTTTTTTTCCTAAAGAGGTTAATTAGCGTTCTCCTGCACTCACACAAGCGTAACACTAGGAAATCCTATATATATAAGTGGAGGCAATTTTCCCTGTGGTGCAGAGAAGAACGTATCGCCAGGTGGTGCCCATTGCACGTTATATTTGATTATTTATTACACCTGAAAACTAAGGGCCTGGCATTTTCTTCTTTAAAGGTTCATCTGGCTGCTATCTCTTGCTACCACAAAGGAATTGAGGGAGGATATGTTTTCTCCCATCATTTATCTAAGAGGCTTCTCAAGGGGTTAGGTAATCTCTGCCCATCCCGGGATCATTTGGTGCCCTATCTGTTGTTCTAGCACAGTTAATGCTCAAACCTTTTGAACCTCTTGCTATCTATTCTTTGGCAGAGCTTTCTATGAAGTTGTGTTTCATAATAGCTGTTACTTCAGCCAGGAAGGTGAGTGAGCTAGCAGCTCTTCAGGTAAATCCTCCATTTTTGAAATTACTTCCTGAAAGGGTAATCCTTCATCCTAGTCTTAGGTTTCTTCCTAAGGTAGTTTCTAGGTTCCATTTATCCCAAGATATTGTTTTACTCGTATTTTTTCCTGCACCGAGCTCTGAGAATGAGTGCTTGTTGCATTCTTTAGATGTTAGTAGGACATTATTATTTTACCTCAGCTGAACCCTGGATTTTTACAGGGATAGAGCCCTGTTGTTGCTGTTTTTTTAGTGGCCTTAAGAGAGGTAGGAGAGCGTCATCTCAGTCCCTGTCCCGATGGATTGTCAGGGCCATTAGGAAGTGTTATGATAGGGCCAGATTACCATGGCCGTTGAACATTCATGCCCATTCCACTTGGGCAATGGCTTCTTCCGCAGCTTTCCTGGATGGAGTGCCTTTGACGGAGATCTGCAGAGCTGTTGTTTGTCAGCAGTCACTATGCTTTGGATCTGCAGGCAAGACATGAGGCTCAAGTAAGCAAGGCAGTTCTTAATTTGCTGTTCAAGTGAGAAGAACATACCCCACCACCTGGTGAGTAGCTTGCTAGAATCCTCATGTGGGACTGCACAGAAGATTGATGATGAAAACGAAGGTGCACTTACCTGTAACTATTGTTCATCTAGTATCTTCTGTTCAGGCACACGTACCCTCCCTCTTGGCCCACTGCATCAGCAGCACTAGTAGTAAGGGTGGGGGGATGCTGCTGTGCTTCTGGCTTCGGCTTCTGGCTTCGGCGCACAGCACTCCCTGGAAGTTTTTAGCTGTAAAGATCTATCTGATGGCAGGCCTGCTTATACGCAGTCCCCATGTGTGCCTGTGCAGAAGATGCTCAATGAACAATAGTTACAGGTAAGAGCAGCTTCATTTTTCATCACTCTGATTTCCTTTCTTCTCTAATTCAGTTTATCCTGTTTTATGGTAGGCCTAGTAAGGTGTATCATGGGAAAACTATTCACCATATAACAAATAATATATGTCATTTAATGTAAAATTTCAGGTAGAAAATGAAAGGAAAAGATGTAATATACAAATTTCTCGATTAACAGAAGAACTGACAGCACTTCAAATGGTACGTTTGCTTGTTGTATAAGTTTCATCTGTGGGGGGGGGGATAAATCTTTTCCCCTTATGTGGACTCATAATTGGAAGAGGCAAAGTTTAAAATGCCCGATTCAGCCAGACTTCAGTGCTTCTGTGTCCTCTGGGCTTCCAGTGAGAAAGTTCAGTATTTCCAGTCTGTGGGCCATTGTTTTGTTTTTCACATTTGTTGGCATATTCTTGTTAAGATTTTAATGGATTCCATCAAAGGAGGAGGCATGGCTCAGTGGTAGAGCATCTGGTTTGCATGCAGAAGGTCCCAGGTTCAAACCCCAGCATCTCCAGTTTAAAAGGATCAGGCAGTGGGTGATGGGAAAAGACCTCTGCCTGAGAGCCTGGAGAGCTGTTGTCAGTTTGAGTAGACAATACTGGCCTTCATGGACTGATGGTCTGATTCAGTAAAGGCAGTTTCATATGTTCATATCTGGCTTGAAATAGCTCTGTTGATATCCCGACTTCTAGTGAGTTGTTTCTCCCAATTGCTTTGAGTGCAGCTTTCACTTCTCTTTCTGGTTCTTCAAAAGACTCTTCTTTGAAGGAATATGTCACCCTTTCATCTCTTCTGTATAGTTCTTAAGGGTATGGTTCCCATCTTTTCTTGATAAAGAGTGCTTGTTAAGTACCCTGTTTCCCCGAAAATAAGACCTACCCAAAAAATAAGCCCTAGCAGGATTTCTATGCATTTGTGGTATTAGCCCTAGTGTGTCTTCTTGAGAAAAAATAAATATAAGACAGTGTCTTATTTTCGGGGAAACACGGTAGTATTTGGCAAGTTGTGGAAAATTAAAGTAAAATTGCAGGCTTTCAGTGAAGAGACCACCCAATATAAAATATGTTTGTTTACCCTTCTTTTATTGTTGGCTGAGGAATGCAGCCATGCACTTTCCTTAGACAACTGGAAAGCACCACAGCTCACTTTGGTACTTGACTCCAAGAGGAATGTCTTTGGCTTCAGTTCAGTATATATTCCCAATAGCCAAAACCTATTTCCAACTCCATAATGGGGGGGGGGGGCTTCCTACAGCATTAAAAAAATCACACATGCACATACATGCTGCATTTCCTACAGCTGAGAAGAACAGAGGGTTGTTTGACCGAAAAGATGCACAGTATACTGCATTCCCTTTTGGCAACCCAGTCCATCACCTGCTGTACACTTGTAGGCAGGTTATCCCTAAGACATACAGCAAGGGTTTGCATTCGGGTGGGAAAAGGGCATAATCTTCTACCAGCCCACTCTGAACCCCCAGTGATCACTGACTATTGGTTCCTATCATTCTCCACAACTAGCAAGTAAGGAAGCGAAATGGAGAGTGACTATAGAATTGTGGGGAAGGTGGGACATCAAGGAAATGGACAATAAAGGAGAGAGGAGATTTGTGTTCCCTTTGGAGTGTTTGCTTGTGTTTGGGTCTGAGGAGAGTGTGTGTATGTGCATGCAAGTCCATGCCTGTATGTATAAGACGGTGAAGGATAAAATGAATAGAATATGTACTTACATCATAGCTGCCAAACGGTGCACATATCTGTAACCATGTGTTCAGTGATCATACCTGGCATTTGCTGTACTTGCATTGCAGTTTGCAAATATATAGAGTGTTTACCCATGATTTTCTTGATAGGAATGTGGAGATAAGCAGGACCAAATTGAGCGGGCTGTTAGAGAAAAACGAGCTGTGGAAGAAGAACTTGAGAAAGTGAGCTGTATTTTTATGATGCATGTATCTAATTCTCTACATGGCCTATCTGTGCCTACTTAAATTCAGAGACTGCAGCCATGAACATACAAGACAGACCTTTCTGCATACCTGAGAAGAGCACCAGATATGCAGAAACATCTGGGATTTAAGGGAAAAAACCTCCCTAAAATAATAGAACAAGTGCCTATACTTTAAGAAATGGGTATCATATGAGATCTCATTGGCCATTGGGAGGGTTGCTAGGCAATTACAACAATATTGCCGGCTTTCAAGCCTTGTTTTCTGTCAAGAAAAAACTGGGGTGAGGGCCATTTGGGGCTATGCAGTCCACCCTTGCTCCCCACTCCCCTGCCCTGTAGGGAAGATGCACACTTAGCTATTTGCCCCCACAGGGGAATAACGAGACAGACAACCATTTGGATTAAACAAGGGCCACTTTATTAACTATATATATTTTATGAATAGCAAACTGGCAAGGGAGCACTTCCTTAGCAGCGGAACAGCCAAGGCAGGCGTCAGTCTGACCAGCCTCCTTGTCTGATACATATGGGCGATGCACCAACCCCGGTCCTGGGCCATTAACCTGGCTTGCGACCAGCAGCCCAGCCGCGGGTCGCCTCCCGGGAGCGCCTACCCCTGAAACCTTACAGTTTGCAGAGAGGAGCTTTACCCAAGAGGCTCCCGTAAGGAGTCCTCGTTTACCGCCCGGGGCCTTAATAGCCCGCAAGCCGTTCCCGAAGACCCCCCAGTTCCCAAAAGACGGGACGGCTTAAGGTGCTCACCAATTCCGCTGCCTTATTCCTGCCATATACTGCCAAAGTGACCGACCTATTTACCGTAGCCACGCCCTTACCCCTACTTCCAATGATCCAGTGTAAGGTAGGCGAAAAAACACTACCACCCTCCTTGCCAATCTTGGGTGATAGCGAAAAATTCCTACCTGGCTCCCAAATGGGCGACCAGCCGCAGCCTACACTAGCTTAACCGGGCGGGCGGGCGAGCACGAGGCTGAAACTGACAAAGGGGGGCGGGAGCAGAGCCGTGCCTAGCCAGGCCGGCTCCGCCCCTCCCCACGTCCCAGCTCTCCAGGCGTCAGTCTGACCAGCCTCCTTGTCTGATACATATGGGCGATGCACCAACCCCGGTCCTGGGCCATTAACCTGGCTTGCGACCAGCAGCCCAGCCGCGGGTCGCCTCCCGGGAGCACCTACCCCTGAAACCTTACAGTTTGCAGAGAGGAGCTTTACCCAAGAGGCTCCTGTAAGGAGTCCTCGTTTACCGCCCGGGGCCTTAATAGCCCGCAAGCCGTTCCCGAAGACCCCCCAGTTCCCAAAAGACGGGACGGCTTAAGGTGCTCACCAATTCCGCTGCCTTATTCCTGCCACTTGCAAAGCCAAGCCTCTGCTTTGGCTGACGCGGCCACCAAACCACTTAAGGCAGCCGTGATCCCTTGCCGGATGTCCTCTAAAAATAACTGGTTGCCCTTGTCTGACAAGTGGATGCCATCCTCCCTGCACAGGTCCAGGTCCTAGACCCCTATTCCAAGGTGTGGTAGATACTGGCCCAAAACCACCCCCGTTCCGTCTAGAGAACAAGGAGCTTCCCGTGCAGAAAGACTCCGTCACCTTTTGGTCTATAATAAACTCTTGAACCTGCCCCTAAGTGCTAAAGTCGTGTTTCTCTTATAAATTCCAGAACTATACTCTGGTTGAACTTATTAAGAAGGGCACTGCACTTAACAAACATTACTACGAAAAACAATTGAAGAAAGATTTCATCGTGCTTTCATGTGTGCTTCATTCTTATAAGACTGAGGAATGCCTATCTAGGCACTGTTGAAAGGAAACTAACAAGTCACACAACTTGTCTAATAGATGCTGAAAACCTAGCCCAAGTAAACTTCTCGTCCCTTCTGTTGAAAATGAGGATCAGCAGAACTGCTCATAACCGGAAGGGATCCTCCGGCTTCACTCTGTAAAATCAATAGTACGTTTTTTATGTAATGTCCGCGGTCCTTAAAGACTCTTGAGCTTGTCCTGGACTGCCAAGGAGCTCAAATCAGTCAATCCGAAATAAATCAACCCCGAGTGCCCCTTGTAAGGCCAGTTAAGGAAACTGCAGCTCAAATACTTTGGCTACCAAATGAGAAGGGAGCACTCCACTGGAGAAGGCAAGACCTGAAAGACTCTTGAGCCTGCCCTTAATCACAGTTGGGCTTGCAATAAAACAATAAAAAAGGCAAGCCTCGGCGGCCCCTCCAGCCAAAAGGTCCACGGATGTCGTTCCCACTCCAGGCTTTTCCCTTAGACTGGGGATAAATAGGGCTTCGCTTCGAGAGTTGGACTACAGGGAAGGCTGAAAAATAGGTTCTTTTGCACTGCGGTGCTGGAGAAGTCTCTTGCGAGTCCCTTGGACTGCCAAAACGATCAAATCAGTCAATCCTAAAAGAGCTCCACCCCGATTGTTCCCTGGAGGGCCAGATAATGAAACTAAAACTCAGATACTTTGGCCACCCACTGAAAAGGGAGCACCCACTGGAGAAGCCCCTGATTGAAGGTCAAAGCAGACGGGGACCGCAAAGAACGAGGTGGCCAGACAATGCCAGCGACTCCACGAACCTGAAACCGACCCAACCCCAGAGGACGGCGGAAGACAGGGAGCTGTAGGACAAACCCTGCGCCAGCAGTAGCCAACTCGGCTCACAGTGGCTCCCAGTGAACCCGAACCTGCACGCGGCTATTGCTCTGAGGTCCAGGCCCCGCCCCGCGACGTGCAGACCCTCACCTGGGACTCCCCGCCAGCAGCCACTTCCCTTGCTCATTAGAACTGCCCGTGGAGTGGGTGAGGGGGAAACGCCGCGGCCAACAATGGGGCCCCTGCCACTTGTGCCCCTGGAGCGGGTGCAGGGGGAGCACCGCGCCAAACACTGGGCCCCCGCCACACGGACCGATGGAGTGGGTGAATGCAACTGGCCCCCGCTCCGTGCCGCCAGTGGTGAGGGTAAAGGGAAAGCCCCGCCTGAACAACGCCCCCCCCCCGTGTAGCCAATGGCGTGGGGGAAAGGGCAGCACCGCTCCTAACAATGGGCCATGTGCAGCCCCTGGTATGGGGGGAAGGGGAGGCGCCAAGCCAAGCCAGGCCCCGAGGCGGCTACCCAACCTGGACTCTTCCCGCCGCTTCGATGGGGGGGGGAAGCCTCCTATGTTGTCCCGCGCTGTCTCCCCGGTGGCCCACCGAGCAGCGGGGGGGGTGTTCACTCCCGGGCCAGGGCAAAAAGGCCGACTCACCCGGGGAGGGGGTGTCGCCGTAACTTACTCCACCGGCCCCAGGCCTCGCTACCGGACGAAGGGGGCTCGAAGGGAGCTGCTTAGCCAGGCCATGAGGCCCCGCCGCCGCCGCGCTCCCCCGCGCTCTGGAGCCCCGACCCCCACGAGCAGCCTCCTGGCCTTCACGTCCCTTCTGCCCGCCCCCCTGACCGCCCCCGGAGTACTTCCTGCGGTCTTGCGCTGACCCGCTGACGTTGGCGGACAACCCGTTCCGCGCCGCGGCCCGGCGATCGCTTCTGCCACCGCTTCAGCCGCCGCTGCTTTCCCTGGCCGATCCGCCCACACTACGGCCCAAGCGATTGCCCCCGCGCCACCGTTGTTGCCTTCGCTGCGGCCCTCGGCCCACAACACAGCCCAGTAGGCCCAGCAGCAAGGCAGCACCACCAGCCCCGCTTGCTCCGACCGAGCACGAGGCTGAAACTGACAAAGGGGGGCGGGAGCAGAGCCGTGCCTAGCCAGGCTGGCTCCGCCCCTCCCCACGTCCCAGCTCTCTGCGCTTTCCCCGCGGCGGCAAACCAGCCCCCAGCCACCATTGCCTTCGGCGGCGGCCGGGAGCTTCCTTCCATATGCAGAACAGATACTCTGTGTGCAGTTTGATTTTGCTTGCAGTTATCTCTTTGAGAAATATAATTGTTCTGTAAACAGAACATGGATTCTCTGAAAGTGAATCTCTGGATAACATGCCAGCTAGTTAGTGTCTGAAAGCAAAAACCTAAAGTAAAAATGTAACTGACCTTAAGGTAGCTAACTGGGAGCAGACCTTTGTGAGTAATACAAAATTGACGATCCACCATCACAAGTACCCTTGATGGCAATCCTACTTTTTTGGACTTAAATTTGCATGGGCTGAGTGATTATCATAGATTGCAAAGTTAAATATTTTAGGAATGTAAATGGAAAAATATGCGATTTTCTGTAACTCACTTATCAGGTATACCGTGAAGGTAGAGGAAATGAAGGCGATTATAGAAAACTAGAAGAACTTCACCAAAGGTGCCTGACGGCTGAACGTACAAAAGATGATCTTCAGCTAAGTCTACAAACAGCACAAAACAAAATAAGGCAACTGGAAATGAAGTAAGTAATTAATGCACACTGCAGACTGAAAGTAAGCACCTATCAGAGTTCCTCTCTACAAAGTTAAAAGGTAAGAAGGATTCCTTTAAGCAGTGGAAAGCTAGTCTCAGTGATGTTGATAAAAGGGAACAGAGGCTGTGGCAAATAAAATGCAAGTCTGTGATCAGGCAGGCAAAAAGGGAATATGAGGAGCATATAGCAAAAAACATAAAGACCAGCAACAAAACTTTCTTCAAATACATTAGAAGCAGGAAACCAGCCGGGGAGGCAGTGGGGCCCTTGGATGACCAAGGGGTAAAAGGAGTACTGAAGGATAGTAGGAAAATGGCTGAGAAACTGAATGCATTTTTTGCCTCTGTCTTCACTGTGGAAGACGAGAAGTGCTTGCCCACTCCAGAACCGCTGATTTTGGGAGGGGTGTTGAAAGACTTGAGTCAGATTGAGGTGACGAGAAAGGAGGTCCTACGGCTGATGGACAACTTAAAAACTGATCAATCACCAGGCCCGGATGGCAGATAAAAGGAAGTACTTCTTCACTCAAAGAGTGATTAACACATGGAATTCACTGCCACAGGAGGTGGTGGTGGCTACAAGCATGAATGGCTTCAAGAGGGAATTAGATAAACATATGGAACAGAGGTCCATCAGTGGCTATTAGCCGTAAGGTATAGGATCAGTCTGGGGCAAGTGATGCACTGTATTCTTGGTGCTTGGGGGGGCAACAGTGGGAGGGCTTCTAGTGTCCTGGCCCCACTGGTGTGCCTCCTGATGGCACCTGGTATTTTTGGCCACTGTGTGACAAAGTGTTGGACTGGATGGGCCATTGGCCTGATCCAACATTGACTTCACTAATGTTCTTATATAACTCCTTTGAGCTGAGATGTTTGTTGGCTATTGGTTATTTTAAACAGCTGCGCAGTTATAATTTCATATTTTAAATAAGATCCTTGTAAGAAAGAGGGGGACATTTTTGTTATAACTGTATGGAAATAATTTCTTCATGCTAAACCATGGTATGTAACATTTGAGCAAGGATTTCCATTGTGTTTGTTGAAATCAATACATTCAGTTGTGCAGCCATGCTGGCAATTATTTTATTTGATTAATTTATTTAGAGTATTTATATCCCTCTGCATCTCCTTAAAAAACAAGGTGCAAGGACACAAAAAGAACACAAGTCACCAACAAGGAGAAATCAGCATACAGGTTAAAAACACCCAGATCTGCCAAAATAGTTCACCCTCCACCAAATGCCTTCCTTTCCTTTACAATCAGTGCCAATAACCTAAAGAGCATATGCAAAAACATGAACATTTGCTCCAGTTTTGTGCAGCTTGCTTTCTTCAAAACACTGCCTCTTACTGCATGAATCTCCACACCTAACATTCCATTGACTTATAATGTGTGTATGGGGAGGCTTGTCTTGCTCATTTCTGCATGGTTTAGAAGCCACCTTAAATGCAAGACACCACGTGACTCCTTGTACTGGAGCCACTGTGTTGAACCAAACTGAGAAATAATTAAATTGAAGTTAATTAAACTTTCCCTCGTTGTAGATAATTAAACCTTTATAAAGTTGCAAAATGCTTCCATTCCTAAAGAATTCATAATTGTGAGGTTGTGGATCAAATTATGATTGTTGCTTCACCCCCAGGCATTTGCTAGCATGGTTCATGAGTGATCCGCAGAAGACATCACTCTGAAATGTGGTCTTATTAATGGCTTCAGTATAATATTCTAGCTGTCCTCATCAAAGAAAGATTTATGACAGAACTACTGCACAGTGGAAAACCAGCTTTGTGAACCCCATTCCTATTTTCATACAGACTGGCAGGAGGGGGGAGTGTGTGTGTATGTGTGTGTGTGTGAGAGAGAGAGAGAGAGAAGGGTGTTTCAAACATGTTTCTTAGAATTTAATTGCTGCTGACAGCACCATGCTTGAGATCAGCTAAGAAGGAAGAAGTCATGAAGACCAAAGTATTCTTTCTATTGGACCTGGAAGAGAAAAGAGTGACATTCTTACAGGGGTTTCAATACAACTCTTATTCTGTGAGGGGCCCTACAGCACTGTAACTATAGAAAACAGAAAGCCGTTCTTTTCCTTGTATCTTGGCTAAGGAGCCATGGTGAGCTCTGTAGCATTTTTGCTAATATATTCACATCCCTTAGGCTAGGCCTGCAGCGAACCTGGAAACTTTTGCTTCAACTGCAAAACTGCAAAAATAATTTTGTCAGACTGCACAATTTTAATTCGTTCCATGAATACCAAGTTTCAGTTTGAACCATTTATTCCTGCCTACCCAGCAGGCTGCAGCCATTTCACATATATATTTATTACCTCATGTAGTAGCATCCAAAACACACATTGTTGCATAATTATTTATTTATTTATTATTGCATTTCTATCCTGTCCTCCCCGCGAACAGGCTCACAAAATCCGGATCTAAAAAGTACAGGGTAAACAAAAACAAATTGAAACTCAAGGTCCTTCTGTCCTCTGAAACACTAGCTAAGTAAGTAATCCTTGACTCTACATTGACAAACAGGAAAAAAGTAGATGGTGCCCACTGTTAAGTCCATATTAGTAAATGTTGTAAGTATTCTGCCTTCATGCTTATTTAATATCTTTAATATTCAGACAAATAAAGAACCTCACAATGTAGGTATAATTTAGCTTGCAATATTGTCAAATGTTGTTTCCAATTTTTCTCTCCCATTCTAAGTCATGAAGAAGAGCTAGGTCGTTGCCAGGAAATGATTCGGAAGTTGCAAAGTATTCTGGATTCTGAAAGAGAGAACTGTGGCTCAGTCAGTGAAGAAAGGTTAAAACTCCAGCAAGAAAATGAACGGTTACAAAAAGAAATTGAGGACTTGAGGAAGCTTGCCATGGAAGCACAGCAAAATGCAAAATTAAAGGTTTCCTTTTTTTCTTTTTACATATTTCAGATTTGACTAAATATTTCTTGGAAATGAATGAAAGGAGGATTTCAGTTTCCAAAGAAATGGTGTTTACCTTCTCCTCACAATACAGTTACTGAAACAGCTATCTATATGCTAAGAGCCAAATCTGTGGTTCCATGGAACAGGCCCACTTACACTGAAATAAGGCTTTCCTGCAAAACTGGGGTTCTCCCCAGGGTTGCAGAAAAATCTGAAAGTAAGAAAAAAAAGCTGGGCGGGTACTATAAAACCTTGCACAAAAATGTCACTCAGGCAACTCAAGCAGCACTGCTGCAGAGGGGAGGGAAGGAATGATTGTTGTCTCTCCTAATGGTGGCTGGAAGTAAAAGATGGCTAGGCCGGAAGGTACCTCAGGAGCGGGGCTTACTCCAGCCGCTAGGGCTCTCAAAAGGCAACTACAGACCAGCTGAGAGGTGTCAAGAGGAAGTTCAGGCTGAAAAGGGCAGCCGGCGAAGATGCGGCAGCTGAGGTGCAGCAGCCTCCAGGGATAGAGAGTCAGGGGTTGGGAGAGGCCTGGGGAAGCCACGGAGTCACATAAGTAGCAGCAGCAGGACAGAGTTGTGCCCACCAGCTGCAGTGAAAACAGGGGCTGGGGTAGTCCCAGTGGAAATGGCGGCAATGGGACAGGTTAGACAGGGAGGGGACCACCCACCATCTGTGGCAAGAGCTGAAGCAGCTGCAGTGCAGCAAGAAAACCCAGGAAGACAGCAGTCGTCCAGAAACCGTAAGTACTGGTGGGGAGGGAACTGAGGAGGCAAGCAGGTGAAGAGCCCCCCCCCCAACTGTGGGATGTAATGGAGGCAGGCAGATGGTTAGAGGGGGAGGAGTAGCATGAGAAAAGGAATAACAGTGTGTGGGGAGATGACTGACAGCATAAATGAAGTGGGCAGGGAGAGACAGACAAATAGAACGAATAAAGTTTGAGAATAAAGTTGCACACGAAAGCCTATACCTTGAATAAAACTTTGTTGGTCTTAAAGACAGTGTTCCCTCTAAGCTGAGTGTGATGCAGCAACAAAAAAGGCTAATACAATCTTAGGGTGTATCAACAGAGGCATAACATCCAAATTGCAAGCTGTCATAGTCCTGCTGTACACTGCATTGGTCAGGCTGCACCTGGAGTACTGTGTGTAGTTCTGGAGGACTCACTTCAAAAAGGGTGTGGATAGAACGGAGCAGGTACAGAGGAGAGCAACGAGTGTGATCAGAGGCCGGGAGACCAATCCCTATGAGGAAAGGCTGAGGGCCTTGGGAATGTTTCTGCCAAACACATTCTCCCTGACCTTTATAGGTGAAGTCCTAGGTCACCGTTTTTTAGCCTCTGGCTCACACGTTTTTGTCTTCGCTCAGGAAGGATGGCTCCAGAGCAAACTAATTTATACAGTAGCCAAATTGCTGGCTCACAACTTTAAAGCCAGTAGCTCACAAAGTGGAATTTTTGCCCACAAAACTCCACAGCTTAGAGGAAACATTGCTTAAAGGTGCCACTGGACTCAAACTTCATTCTGCTGCTTCAGACCAACCCAGCTATCAACCTGAATCTATCTACAGAGAGAAGGAATAACAGTATATGACAGTAGTCATGGCTGAAATGTGCATATTTAATTCATGGTCCACCTGTACCCCAAGATCGTGTTCATACACACCCAGCAGTTTATCCCCCATCCAGTATGTGTGTTCCTCATTTTTGTTACCCAGATATAGAACTCGGCACTTATTCTTGTTACATTGCATTTTGTTCACATCCACCCACTTTTCTAGTGTGTTCAGATCTCGTTGAATTCTATCTCTATCTGCTGGTGCGTTCGCTACTCCTCCCAATTTGGTGTCATCTGCAAATTTAATGAGTAGCCCCTCTTCATCCTCCACCAGATCGTTTATAAAAATATTGAAAAGCACCAGGCCCAGAACCGAGCCCTGTGGTACCCCACTGGACACCTTCCTCCATTCAGATGCAACACCATTGACAAGTACTCTGAGTGCAGTTCTCCAACCAGTTCCCTATCCACCTACTATCCTAGAGTCCAGTCCACAGTCCTCTAGTTTACCCATTAGAATACCATGGGGGGCCCTATCAAAAGCTTTACTGAAATCCAGTTAAGCAATATCAACAGCATTCCCTCAATCCAGCAAACTCACCACTTGATCAAAGAAGGAAATGAGGTTGGTCTGGCAGGATCTGTTGGGGACAAATCTGTGCCAACTTCCCCGAATCACCAAGTTGTCCTTTAGATGCACACAGATTGAACCCTCTAAAATCTGCTCCAATATCTTTCCTGGGACGGAGGGCAGACTGACTGGCCTGTAGTTTCCTGGGTCATCCCTCCTCCCTTTTCTGAAAACTGGGATAACATCAGCCCTCCTTCAGTCTTGTGGCATATCTCCTGTCCTCCAAGAGGTCTGGAAGATGGGCAAAGGCTCATCTAGATCTCTAGAAAGTTCTTTGAGCACTCTTGGGTGTGTACCATCTGGCCCAGGGGATTTGTATTCAGTGCAGCCAGGTTCCTCTAAGTAACCTACCTGTCCATGTCAGCCAGCAGCTCAGATGCCATGCCTTCCTTAGTACCATTTCTAGATAAGCCTGTTATCTTCTACAGGAGAAAAACAGAGGCAAAATAGGCACTGCGGCCTTCTGCTTTCTCTCTGTCCTCTGTCACAGTCTCTCCATTTTCACCCAACAGTGGGCCCATCACCTCCTTTATCTTTCATTTGTTCCTCTGTTTTTCTTGTTGTAGCAAGCTTCCCTGGCCAGCTTTAGCTCACTCTGAGCTTTGGCCTCTCTGATGGCTGACCTACAGTGCTTAGCAACCCTCAAATACTCTTCTTTAGAGGTATGTCCTTCCCTCCATTCCTTGAACATTCCCTTTTTCTTCCTTAACTCGTCACAAAGTTCTCTGTTCATCCACATTGGCTTCTTGGATCACCTGCCCTGTTTCTGTTTTGTTGGAATAGGGATGGTTTGAGCTTGCAAGAGCTCTTGTTTTCGGAGACCCCACTCTTCACTTGGTCCTTGGTTCACTACATAGGACAACAGGACAAACCCTACACTAGAGGATAAATGGACACAAATCGCCTGAGCGTCTTTAGTAATTAAGCGCAGAAGCGACCGGCCACCTGAAACCCCCATCTCGAATAGGCAGGGAGGAGGAGTGGGCTTAAAGTGAGGGGAAGAGCAGGGGCTGAGGCTGAAAAAATAGCATAAAACCAGAGATGGTGTAGACCAGATTAAAGCGGAATTAAATAAACAGACCTTTGGAGCTCCTAAACAAACTTTTTCTTATGTGAACAATGTCTTTGTGAAGAGATAAAATGGCACCAAAAAAGGATTCTTCTCCAGAAACTGCCAGCTCACGGTCATCGAGACATAAACCGGAAGTGCTACTGACTTCCAAAGCATGCTAACTGCAGCACTGCGCCCTCTGTTGGACCAGATGACTAACCTCAATAGCAAATTTCATGATCTTCAGAAACAACTTAAAGAAGCAACTGCAATGAATGTAATGCAAGGAATATTGGGATGTTTTGCTGACATACCATTATACCAATTAAAAAAAAATGCTGTTAAGTTACCCTCTGTTGGACCAGATGACTAACCTCAATAGCAAATTTCATGATCTTCAGAAACAACTTAAAGAAGCAACTGCAATGAATGTAATGCAAGGAATATTGGGATGTTTTGCTGACATACCATTATACCAATTAAAAAAAAATGCTGTTAAGTTACCTCCATGCCTGAGAGGAGATGAATGATGAGTCTCCATTTACTTCCCACAATTATAAAAGATGCCCTTATACACTTATCCCCTATTCTGACATTTATTGCTTTGGTATCCTTCCCCCCCTTAATTAAATCAAAACAACTGTTGACCTTATAACCTTAGCTGGTTATTTAGTTTGGTTTTGCATAACTTAAAATATCATCATGTTATATGTAAATTTGCTGTTCAGCCTGTCTATAAGATTGAACCTCCATTCCAGTGTATTTGAAAAAGTGTGTATGCACACAAAAGTTCATACTTTGAATAACCCTTTGTTGGTCTTAAAGGTGCCACTGGACTCTAAATTTGTTCTACTGCTTCAGACCAACATGGCTGACCACCTGGAACTCTTTTCCCTTCCTGCCATCTTGCCCATGGAATTATTCTCATCGTGCCTGAGTTCATTAAAGTTATCCTTACTGAAATCTACCATACACATGTGGCTACGGACTTCCTTGGTTCCTCCAGCAAAAGGAATTCTAGGAGGACATGGTCATTTCTCCCTGAGGTCCCCACCACCTTCACTGTATCTACCTTCTCTTGCCCATTGGTAAATATTAAGTTGAGTATGGCTGAGCCCCTCATAGCGTCCTCCACCATGTGATGAAGGAAGTTGTCCCATCGTATTCCCATTCTCTTTAGCTTCCTCGAGAGCTTCATAGTCAACCTTAATGTTTTTGATGGTGTTCACGGCAATGTCATTAGTTCCCACGTGGACCATCACAAATGGGTAATGCTCTGTAGGTCTGATGAGTTTTGGGATCCTGTCTATAATATCTTTAATTTTCGCCCCTGGCAAGCACCTCTCAGGCCAGGGGGACAGGCCTGGACACATGATATTCCATACCCCTCAGCAGGGAGTCACCTATGACCAATACATTCCTTTTCCTTCCCATGCCGTTTCTTCGAATTTTCCTGTCCACCTCCCTCTGTCTTCCTTGTGTTTGTGATGCTTCCGTTGGCAGTGTTTCAATTTCTGTCTTCACTGCAAGGGCCTGGAATCAATTACTTAGTTCTAATGGCACTGAGTGCTGTCTCGCTTGATGCCTTTGGGGTCAGGCTGTAGCACTCTGAGGAGTCTCGTTAAGGCAGTCAACCACACTGTTGCCCCTTTAACTGATCTCTCCTTCCCAATGCAGGACATCAAGGCTTCTGTTAATGAACTCTCCTTCCCATCCTTTATTTCATGGAGAGTAGTAATCCTTTCTGCCAGGCTCCAAACCTTCTCCTCTAAGAGTCCTATCAATTTACACTTCTGACAAGTGTAGTCCATCTTGCCCTCAGGGAGGAAGACAAACATGGCACACTCCCTGCAGGTGACTGGAAATGGTCCGTGAGCATTCATCATCATGGATGTCAGTCTGCATGTTTCTATAGAATTGCATTATGTAAATCAAAATAGTTTGACTTAATTGATTTATAGATTGGACTCCATATAAGAAGAAAGTACAAAAAAGACAAGTAAAAATCGAAAAGTAAAATTACTTTTGTCCTATTTGCATTTTGAGTGGCCTATTAGAACTTCCACAGTCCTTTATTAATGGATATAGACTGAATGTTGATCTGTCCATACTGGTCAGTTTCAATCATATGGTCAAAAGACAAAAGCTAATCTTGTAGTGATGGGAATTTTTACTTTTTCTGTAGATCAGCACAATGGAGAATGAGCTTTTAATAAAAGAATATGGGTATGAAGTTCGACTGAAAGAGATGGAAGATGTGAATCAAAACTCCACCACTGAGCTGAGACGCCTATTGATAGCGCAACAGAAGGCAACAAACCGGTGGAAAGAGGAAACAAAGAAACTTACAGAAAACACTGAAGCCAGAATAAATAATTTAAAGTAAGGGATATAATTTTTTTCTTAGACATCTTCATTGATGCAGACAGGCATACAGATCCATTAGAAAAGTACAGATAAGAGTAGGAAGTATTACATAAAATATATTATTATACTGTTCCTGTGAAATGTATTATGAGAGTTCCTGTGTGGCTTTTAATTACCATTCAGATTTTTTTGTCATTTGAAAGTTAAGTGGAAAAAATAAAGAGTGACTCATTGGTAAGATATGTTTCCAGCAAATAAGCACTATTTAAAGAGAATGTATCTCCATTGGAAGTTCTCCTTCTTCTACTTCAAATTAAAACCGTTTGCCCACAGAACATCATCTGAGTCTGTTTAAGCTGCAGGACCACTTCTATTTCTGGCAAATGAAGAACCACCTGTCCCTCTGTCAGTTGAGATGGGAACATGGTACATTTTCATTGGCACTGTCGGACAAAAAGTCTCAGGCAATAGTGATCAAAGATGTAGTGGAACCACATCAGTCCTTTGTGCAGCTCAGCTGCAGCAGCCAGAGCGTAGCATCAAAGGAAGGTGCTGGATCAGTTGGCTGACAAGAAAAGATTGGGAGCTCACTTCCTGCTTAATCAGTATAAATGCTTGGCTAGGCAATTACTGAGGGTTTTTTACAGCATGGAATATGATGTGAATTCTAATCATCACTGTATTTCTTGCCATTTTGAATCTGTTCTTGTAATATACCAGCAAGGCTCAGAGCTGGTACAGGAAAAGTTGATGAAATATTCTCTGAAAGCAGAGAGGAAAACTTCAGATTGGGAGACCTCAATGTGTAACCATTGTGTAAGAGTTTACTGTGAAGAGAAATGAATGTATTGAATGAATGAGGTGAACAATTTACCCAGAAATTATTGCACACTAATGGGGTTTGGCATTGAAGGAGTTTGTGAAACTTTGTGCTTAATGCATTGCACAGATATTGATTCTTACTTTAGCAGCATAGATTTAGGCTGCAGCAACAGAGAAAATCTAGATGGAAAGAAGAGGCCCGCACCCTGTCCTTCAATGAATGTATTTTGTTTTTTCAGTTCTACAAGAATCTCTTAACAAACAGCCCAAGTAACCATCCTTCCTGCTAACTCAGTGCATCTAATCTGCCTAAAAAGGAAAAGCAGTTGGTCATGGAGGAGGGAACCTCTATAAACTTAGCAATAAGTATTCTTCCTGATCTTCTGAAACTGACTAGAATTTTCCATCTCAGCCTTTTCCTGATTTATTTTGTAAATCCTGTTTCCTTTGTCCCTTCTACCATTCAAGTGATGCTTTATGCTGTTTGAATGCAAGGGTTAGATTGGAACTGGCACTGAGCATGAAATGTAATGTTTTTGGTACCCAGTGCATTTAAATTCTATGGCTCCTGCCACATGGGGGGAAATTGATGCGGCCAAAGTGCGGCTTTGTAAAGCCGCACCAAAAGAAACACACGGCGGCGGGATCAGACGGATCCCGTGAGCCGCCGCGCAGTTGCTCCCCGGCACGATCAGATGCCGGGGAGAAAGCCACGGAAGGGAGCACGAGGCAGCCGGCTGCGCATGTGTATACATGCGCAGTTCGGCTGGGAGCCTCAAATGCTCCTGAAGACAGGCGCGCTGGCGATCCCACGGCCGCACTTGCTGCGCCATTTCAGGTAAGTCCTCCTCTTTTGCTGGTTCTTTTTTTCAGCGCATTTTCGGCCTGAAGGGCCGGATCGGGGATGGGTGCACGCTGCTTCCCAGATGTTGCGGTGTGCTCATGCCCGTTTGCTGCGCCCCCTATCTGTCCCTCTTCCGGCCCAAAACCTCCCATGTGACCGGGGGTCTATGTATATTTTCTTAAAACATTTTTAGGGTTTTTAAAAATGTAATTATATGACCTGCCCTGAGCTTCTGGAATACATGAGGTAAATCCTACATCTGTTCTTTCCTTTCACTATCCAAGTTTCTAAAGAAAATCCTCAACTAGAATTAGTGCTGAATTCCAGCACTGTTGGGTCTTCTTGCTGGAAAAAGAGTGGGGAATGGTAGGGTTTTTATTTTTATTTTTAACTTGACTTGGAGTCCATGTGAAATGCCTAGCTTCCCGAATGGGTGTGAAGTTGGTCTGAGCTTCTATTTTGCCCCTCCTGAAGTGGATCGGGCATGTTAGAACAATGGAACTCCAAAAGGCTAGGACCAGGCAGTGATCCATTTACTTGTGGTAAATACTGATGTTCATAGAATCATAGAGTTGGGCCATGCAGGCCATCCAACCCCCTGCTCAATGCAGGATCAGCCTGAAGCTTCTCTAACAAGTGTTTGTTCAACCACTGCTAGAAGACTGCCAGTGAGGGGAAGTTCACCCATCCCATATGCATGCTTCTCGTTTTTGCTACCCAAATGTAGAACTCTGCACTTATTAAAATTGTTGAACTCCATCTTATTCACATCCACACTTATTCAGTGTGTTCAGATCTTGTTCTATATCTTCCAGTGTGCCTGCTATTCCTCCCAATGTGGTGTCATCTACAAACGTAATGAGTAGTCCCTCCATTTATAAAAATACAGTTCTCCAGCCAGTTCCCTATCCACCTAACTATCCTAGAGTCCAGGCCACAGTCCTCCAGTTTATCCATCAGAACATCATAGAGAACCCACTCTAAAGCTTTACTGAACTCCAAGTAAGCAACATCAACAGCATTCCCACAATCCAGTAAGCTTGTCACTCAATCCACAAAGGAAACGGTGTTGGTCTGGCAGGACCTGTTGGGGAATAAATCTGTGCTGACCTCTCCGGATCACTACATTGTCCTTTAGATGCTCCCAGACTGACTCCCTTAAAATCAGCTCTAGTATCTTCCCAGACTGACTGGCCTTTAGTTTCCTGGGTCATCGTGCCTCCCTTTTTTGAAGATAGGGTTAACATTTGTTCTCTTCCAGTCTCCCGGCCTCCAAGAGGCCTTGGCACGTTTCCTGTTCTCCAGAAGGTCTTGAAGATGGACCGAGGTGCTTCTCAGCTACCTCTCTGTCCCTGTCAACCAGCAGCATGGATGCTGTGCCTTGTCTACTACTGTCTCTAGATGAGCCTGTTCTTCAGGGGAAAAACTGAGGCAAAATAGGCATTCTGCTTTCTCTCTGTCCTCTGTCAGAGTTTCTCCATTTTCACCCAACAGTGGGCCCATCACCTCTTTTATCTTACGTTTACTCCTCACGTAGTTGTGTTTCTTGTAGTGAGCCTCCCTGGCCAGCTTTAGCTCACTCTGGAGCTTTGGCCTCTCTGATGGCTAACCTACAGTGCCTAGCAACCCATAGATGCTCTTCTTTAGAGGTAAGTTCTTGCCTCCATTTCTTGAACATTTCCTTTTTATCTCTTAGCACATCACGGAGCTCTGTGTTCATCCACATTGGCTTCTTGGATCCCCTACCATGTTTTCTTGTTGGAATAGCAATAGCTTGAACTTGCAAGAGCTCTTGTTTTAGGAGCTCTTCTCTTCCTCCTTTCACTTCCAGCAGTCTTGCCCATGGAATGACTCTCATCATGCCTCTGAGTTCATTAATGTCTGCCCTACTAAAATCTAACATACATGTCTGGTTAAAAATTTCCTTAGTCTCCCACAGGAAAAGGAATTCTAATATTCTTCCTACATGTAAGTTCATTCAGTGTATGGTTACTGTGTCTTACGTCTGTTTATAGGAGGTGGCTTAAAATAGTTACCAGTAAGTACTTTACTCAGTTGTGTTCTCATACTTGTGTGCATTCACCCATGATGATAATTTTTGCGAACATGTGTGATCTGCTGTAATGATAGTAATATATAGCTGTACGTGGAAGAGAAGCTCTACATCTGTATATCTCACAACAGTTGTGGCATCTCATTCAACAGTAGATTGGCACTGGTCATCAAATGGGGCCAATGGAACGGATTACTAAGAGATAGCTGATGCGATGAAGATTTCATTCTTCTTTCACAATTTTTGGTCCTGCCTGAAAGGTGATTGATTGGGACTGTGAAGCTCTCCAGATCTTCTTCGTGGTCTCTGTGCTTCACACCAATGGGTTTAGTGCGCCTGCGCTGACCCGACCGGTGCTGTAGCAAGCTATGTTTCAAAGGATTTTTGCGCGGGTCCCACTGACCATGCGCAGGAACCCCAGCGCGCATGCCCAGAGGGAGTTCTCTCTCTACCGCCGCGTTGAAAGGACCTTTTTGCCTTTCCTCCTGACCGGATAGCTATTACTGCCTTCGGGCCTTTACCTCATTTCTTTATTTCTTAGGATTATCCTCCGTTTGATTTTGTCCTTTAGTTTTCTTTAAAAAAA